ATTCTGGAGCATTTTGGTACTGCTTGGCCTCTGGCGAGTCAGATGAATTTATTCCCAAGTTCTTCATCATATTTCCTAAGATCAAGTATTTTAAGCAAGTAGTTCACATGGGACTCCTCAGCTTACTATTCATTAAGGCTTCAAATTTCAGCATGTGAACTTTCAAATTCACTTTCTCTCAAAGGCATTTACCCCTTAAATTTTGTGATGACTTCCATGATCAGTGGATGAGGGAACGCACATTGATGAGAACTGACCAGTAATAAAATATTTTCAATGTTTTGTTACTTTTCCACCCTATGTGCATTTGAATTTCCAAATCATATATATCTCTAGTAACTATATATCCTTTTTTCAAGTCATCTTCATCATCACTGTGATAAGACTGATATAAGTGGCTAAAATATTTTGAAGCTTTCTATATCCCCCTCAATTCTTAATATAATTTTCTAACCTTCATGCTTATCTTAAGCCACAATCTGTCATTCTTTGTATGTTTCAAAACTTTCATTGTTGTTTCATGAATTCCTAAATTCATCTGACATTTAAGAAAAACAGTTCTCCTTGGAAGTGGAGATATAATTTAAGGAAAGAATTAGCAGTTTTCAGAATAATTTCTTATAGCTGTGCTCCAAATATAGGCCAATAACATGTCTGGTCAGCATTTCTAAAAAGTTTTATCAGTGTGAAATTTATCTTAATTATTGTTTTAGTGATTTCAGGCCCCACCCCTTTTTTTTTTCATCAAGCTCCAAAGCCTTTCAGAAACTACTTGATCCTGTTTTGGGTCATCTTCGTTCACTACTTTGACATTAATAATTCTGATTTTTTCAAATCCCCATTTGGTTGAATCATTCTCTTCAGAGTATTCTTTCTCATCGCACAAGAAGTCACTCCCCTTGGCAGGAGATTTGACTGGCTATTTCATTGTGGTTTTAATTGGCATTGCCCTGATAAACTACCTTTTCATTTCCTTATTTGCCATTTGTATATATTCTTTTTTGAAGTGTCTGCTCAGATTTTTGTCCATTCTATTAAATTATCTTTTACTTTGATTTCTGTATATACTCTAGGTACAGTTCTTTTCCACATATACGTACTGCTTGCCTACTTTTCTTAATGGCATATTTTATAAGCAGAAAAGTTATACTTTAATGAAGACAAGTTTATTGTTTTTCTCTTAATGGTGCTAGGGGTGAGATAAGTCTTTGTCATGCTGCAGTTTCCAAATGGAAGCTGGGTCTGTGGTCCATTGCTGTTTGAGCTGTTCATGAAATAGAGATTTATTAGTGATAACGATTCTTAATTCCTTATATACTTATGGTTCTCTCTGTGTGTTGCTGCTTCACATTCTATGTGTTAAAACTGTTATGGAGAACTTACATATCTTAGGCTGAAAAAAATCCTTAACCCACAATAATATAGCATATATTTCTGAGATAGACATGTTTCCCTGTCATTTCTCTTGCTAATTCCAGGATGACTTGATTATTTTGCATTTTGAGCTAAAAGACTGAGTCTTTACTGTTTTCTGTTTCTCATTATGGTTAATTTTCTCTTGCCTCTGCATTTTACACAATTTGAAAGTTACTGATTAATCATTATAGCCTTCTTGGTTTTTTCAGGTATTTAGTTGGAATGTCTTTAAATTATTCAATTAATAAAGTTCTTTCTTGATTTAGTTTGGTGCCTCATTCATATGGATCTGCAATTAAACATTAGCATTAAAGGTCCTCGTTTGAGTAGGGCTGTTGACTGCATAAGCAATGCCACTGCTCGGTGCTGAAGAGCCCCTGGACTTCATTAGGTATTTAGTCAAACACTGACTGTGCCATGCCTTGTGCTGGGCTCTGTGGAAGTTATAAAACTGAAATACAGTTTCTATCCCTATGTGAATAGTTTTATAGGGAAGATAAGATATACAAAACTAAAAATACTGTATATTCTAGATACGACATGTGTGTTTGTGCTGGTACCAGTAATATGTGTATGAATGTATGTGTGTGTTCATAGGAGAGCCCTAGCTCTTAGCAGGGCTAAATACTTTTCTTCCACTTTTGTTAAGTGTTTTCATTATATACATATCAACACTGCTAGCTCTTTATATATTTATAATTTACATACACTAAATCTATCGCTCACTGCAACATTATACAGTAGGTGATATTAGCCAGAGAAGATAAGAAACTTAACTAAATTTGTTTAAGAGACTGAACCAGCTTTCAGACCCAGATATGTCTAACTCTGAAGCTGTGTCCCCAGTTTTAAGGCCTTGAGGAAGATAGTGGATTTACATAACTTTCATAGTTTGCACATATATACCTAAAGTAGTACTGGGAACTCTTAATCTGATGGGCTTGAATCATCCTGGGTCTCTTTTTCATTTGTATGACTGTCCTCTTTTTGCCTATTTTTTCTATTTTAAACTCACCTTTATTCAGATACAATTTATATATAATAAAACTTGCCAATTTTAAGTGAACAATTCAGTGTGTTTAACTACCACCAGGGATGTGATGGATATTTCCATATTCAGACTTCAAGGTCTCTCTCAGTTTTCTCCTTTTAACCCCAGCCTCTTCCAAACACTGATCTGCTTTCTATTACAATTTTGTTCTTTCCTAGAATTTCATAGACAGGGAATTCTGGGAAGTAGTCCTTGGTGTCTGGCTTCTTTCACTTAATATGCTTCTGAGATCCATCCATGTTACATGTATCAGTCATTTTTCCTTTCATACTGCTGAATAGTATTCCACTATATGGTTGTACCACAGTTTATCTCTTTACCCATTGGAGTACATTTGTATTGTTTCCAGTTTGGGTTATTATAAATAAAGGTATGGACATTTGAGTTCAAGTCTTTGCATATATTCAATTTTCATTTCTCTTGATAAATACCTAGGAGTAGAATCACTGAACTGTATGGTAAGTGTGTATTTAACTTTATAAGAAACTTCCAAACTGTTTCCAGAGTATTTATACCATTTTACATTCCCACCAGCAACTTGAGTTTGAGTTCTCATTGTTTCACACCCTTTGCCAACACTTCACATCTTGACTCTTTTTAATTTTAGAATTTAGTGGGAGTGTAGTGGAACCTCAGTGTGGGTTTAATTTATGTTTCCTTGATGACTAATAATGTTGAAGTTTTTTCAAGTACTTATTTGCCATCCAGATATCTTCTTCAGCTCTTTACTACCACTTACCCTTTTAAAAATCAGTTTGTCACCTTGTTTGTTTTAAGAGTTACATATTCTGGATACAACTCTTTTGTTAGATAGATTTTGTATGTATTTTGTCCTGGTCAAGGCTTATACTACCATGTTTTTAAGCAGAGGCTTTTGAAAAGTAAAATTTTTAAATTTTGATTAAGTACAGTTTGTCATGTTTTTCTTTTATGATTCAGGATTCACAGGGACCCCCTCTAGGTAGTCTGCAGCTCTCTTTCTCTTCAAGATTTCCTTTCCAGTAATCTGATCTACAAATTGTAGCTTCCTTACCTGCCCAAGTTGTCTTTTTTCTGAACTCAGGGAGACACTCACCACACCCAGCTGCATCAGTTCCTCTCCATGTGCTGCAGCCTGGAAGCTGCCACCAGGCAATAGCTGCTGTGGTCTAAGGCCTTATGTTGGAATGTTGTCCTTTTGTCAGAGAGCACCATGATTCTGAGCTGCCTCAACTGTTGTTAATATGTTAAAAACTAGTGATATGCCAGTGAAACTTCTTGGAAAGCAATTTGGCACCATCTTTGAAGGTTTAAATAGTTCACTGGTTAAGAAAGAAGCATAGGCTTTAAAGTTACTTCACCAAGGGATGGAAGTTGGTGAGACAAGACTGATTGTGTTTTAAGAGTACAAACTTGTAATGAATAGTAAAATAAGCCATAGACATCTAATGTACAGCTTAAAGAATGTAGACAGTAATATTGTAGTGTAATTATGCAATGTGCTAAATATCACAGTGGCAATCGTAATATAGAAAGGTATCAAAGCAACACACTGTACACTTTAAATTTCCATGTTACATGTCAAATTTCAACAAAAAAATCAAAATAAAAAGCATGTAAAATTAATTCACACAACGATAAAATATTTATGGCCCTGGAAAAATGGTTACCTGGAAGGCTAAAGAAATTACAAGAGAAGAAAAATATTTATTTGATCTTTCATCTTGAAACTGAAGTATGAGGTTCTTGGATGGCATACTGAATGTGATGTAGACCAAGGAGAATCAGGTGTATTAGCTATGAAGAACACACACTGTTAAAACAGAGGGTCACATGTGTGAACAAATGAAATTTAACAAGAGGAAGATACTGGAAGTAGCTGGACGCTTGGTTTGTTTTGTGAAGGGTTGCTGATATTACGGACATTTGTTCACTTTTAGTTAACTCATTATAGAAGAGGAAACAGTTTTCCACTAGCAAAAGTAAGGGATATTGTCCCATAGCCTCTTTGAATCCCTTTGCATTTGGTGGTCTAGTTTCTTACTGAGCTATGTATATTTTTATGCCATTTGCCCCTAAGGTAAGTATCAATTAAAGGACGTTTCTTTTGCTTTTGAGAACCTGGCACATGGGTTTAATGCCGAAGGATCAGTTAGAGCAGCAATTTTTATACCCAGTTTTCTAACAGGAGCACTTTATCTCCTTTTGAGATTAGGTTGAGTATTTTCCTATGGAAATTCCATTTTGAATAGCACATTTTCCCTCTTAAAAAAGAAAGGTCACCAGCTGCAATTCCTTGAAGTAGGGATGGTGTACATATGAGGTATGTAGAACGAACAGGTTGCTTTTCTTTCATTTATTTTTTTTCTCAATACTTGATTTTACTTTTGCTTAAATGGTTGGTACCTGAAGACACAGTAACACTGGGCATGTGTATGTGTATATATGTTCCTGCAGCATTTTAACTCATGTCGATGAGAAGACCTTACTGTATAAACCCAAATAAGTATGTTACATGATTGACAACTACACCTTTTTCCTAATGTTTCCACAGGAGTCTCCCCAAGACAGTGCTATTACTCGGGATATTAACCGGACATTCCCAGCCCATGACTATTTTAAGGACACAGGAGGAGATGGACAAGATTCCTTATATAAAATATGCAAGGTATTCCATGTTAGAAAAAGAAAAAAAAGAACTAGGTTCTGAATGATATTTCTGATTCTTTAAAATTATACAAAAGATAACTTCGAAGTATAGTCTATATTTGATGTTCAAGAATGCAAAAAAGGAAAGGGACCTTCTAAAGAGAAAAGCACATTTCTAAAGAAGACTTTCTAAAATTGTGTTGTTACCTTTGATTTTACACTCACAATGAACAGGAAATAATTAGAAATAAAATGGCAGGGTTTCTTATACCATTTCAGTCAGGACTTCTGTATAATTATCCCCTAACTTCACATTTAGACTTTCAAAAGTTTTATGTTAAGAGCCTCTGAGTCCTGTAACATTGTAAACTCATTTTCAGTATTCATAATGTAAGTGATGAACTTGCCATCAAGGACACATCCAACAGGGGAAATGACTGGTGCTTATCCAAGAGGACTTTTAGCACCACAGAGTAATAAATGATGGGAAATACTGGTGTCTGTCAAAACACCTGTACCTGAAAGCTGTAAAGGAAATGGAAGCCTGTTCAGTTCCAGCAATTCATGTTGCAGTAGATACTGGTACTTGAGAGCCATGGGAAGGAGTTGGAAGCAGGGTTCTTCAACTTTCTTCTTCCCTTAGAACTAGTCTTTAGTCTTTTCACCCCAAACTGATCAAGTGCCTATTTAACATCTACTATATTGAGCATATACATATTACTATAACATCTACCTATTTAGCATATACACATTATTAAGAAGGCAAAACTAATAACTAGTTTTAGGGCAGGCCAGCAGTGGACAGGTTTTCCAATGATAAACTAGATGTTCTAAACTATAAGGGCAGTTAGGATTTAGAGAAATGTTTCTTGGGTTTAATTTGAATTTCCTCAACAGGACATACATACCAAGCTATAATTTCTGTTGTAATCCTCTTTCCTGATCATGCTTTCTTTAGCTCCTTCTCAGTTGTGCTTTCCATGTAAACAGCCAATCCATCTGTCCCTCACCTTACTGCAGAATTTCCCAGAAAGAAATCCTGTGCTCACTGCCTCTGACCCCTTACTCCTGATCCCAGTGCACGCTGGTTTCTTTCTCATGATGATATTGCTTGCAGCTCCCTCTGCTCTTGATTTCTCATCCTCTGGGTTATGCTCTCACTTTTAGCACAACTTCAGACTCCCTCAATAATTTCTCCCTCTCTCTCTCTCTGTCTTCTGAAACAGAGGCCTTTCCCTAGGTGCTCAGTCACTAGTTCCTGTAGCTCTCTACTTAGTCTCCCTGGGTGACCCTGTCCACCCCCAAAGCTTCATCTGTGATTGCTGCACAGATGTCCCCAAATCTCCTTTAGCCTAAGGCCTCAATTTCCAGCTGCCACTTGGTCTTCATGTATAAGTCTGTCAAGTGCATCAAACTAAACAGGCCAAAAAATAGAGTTCATTTAAAAACACATTTTCTATGAACAATTTCAAACATATAGAAGTTGAATAGCATAATGAATTTGTATATATCCCCCACCCACATTTAATATTTATCAACATATTGCCACAAATGCTTCATCTAACCCTTAATAAACTTTTCCTGAAGTACTTTAAAGCAAATCTCTAACATGATACTCCTAAATTCTTTACATCTCTAAAAAGAAGATCATTATCCATCTATAGCATCAGTCATTAATAGCTATTCCACATTTGGATTTCCCTAAATGTCTGTATACATTTGGTTAGAATCAGGATCCAACAAAATACATATTATGGTCAGTTGTATTTCTTAATTCTACACAGTCCTACTTTTCTCTCCAATGCATTTTCTTGCTGAAGATAGAATCATTACTCTGTTAGTTTTCAGTTCCTTCCTTGGCCACAATGTTTGATACGGTTGATGTCTCTTCTGGCCAGACTTCCCTCTCTATTCATAACCCTAGTTCAGGCCTCTGCCATATACTCGCTGGTGCTTTACAAAAGCTGCCTTGTCTTCATCTCCCTGCCTTTGGATTCTAGTCTATTTTTTGTTTTCTCTGTGTTGATCCTAGAATTGGATCATGTCAGTGGTCTCCACTAAAACCTTTCATGCTTCCCCATAGCCCAGCAGAATGAAATAAAAATCCTTAGTTCATTTCCTGGCCCTAGATTCCTTAGCTTAGCATTAAAGGCATTTTGTAGTACACCCTAGCTTATTCACTGTTTTATGCTTCAACCACATTGAATTTCTCACTGTAATATGATTGATTTGCTTCTCAAACTTGCCACCCATACTGTGGAGTTCTCAAGGGCAGGAATCACTTCTTATAGATGTAACCATCTGTAGCAGTTAGCAAAGTGCTTGGCATATAGTAGGTACTCATTAAATGTTGATGAACTAATGAAATGCCTTTTTGTCCTCATATTTCATTGTAACCCCAATGAACTTTATATTCCAAACATACCACATACTTTCATGTCTGTATGCATTTCTTCAGGCTTTACCACTAGCCTGAAAAATATGCTTTCCTCCATTCTCTACCTATAGAAATTCATTTTCATCATAGTATATAATTAAGCCAGTGTGTACTGAGCACTTAATATGAGAGGACTGAGAATAATATATCAACTCTGTGATATAAAAACTCTGAACTATGATTATTCTCATCTTACAAAAGGAACGTAAACAGGCCCAAGCTCCATACCTAAGTGTTAGCAGTTGTGAGATTTTGGCCCAGCTCTTACTACCTCTGAAGCCTCTCTTCTTTCTTGACAGTCAACTGTTGATTGATACCTTCACAGACATTGTTAAACTGCTTTCCACAGGGCTGTTGGCATATATCACTACTATTTTTTAACACAGTCTTAACTAAATTAGCATTAACACTTGTTAATTTTTAACTAGTTTGATAGGTACAGAGTGGTGCCTCATTGTACTAGAAACAGATCATTTCTAAAGCCCTCTGTACACCTTGTCTTCAGAAAAGTCTGTGTGTTTCTCATTCTGTAGCCCACTCATCAGATAAGCTTTGATGAAATGAGGGAGTATAATGAGATTATCCTGAATTCTACCTAAATTTATTAAAGCATGATTATAATACAAATACATAGTTTTTAAAACTATAGTTTCATCAAAAGCTAATGATAAAACCCATGATATATTATTAACTTAATCATCATCTCATAAGCTTTGGCATCATATTTTGCTAAATGATCTTAATTCTAAATATACCCAATTCTAAACTGCTTTCTTGGGACGCAGAGGAACATAGGCACACACTCAAAAGTGGAGCATAAAGAGAATTTCATCAGAAATAAATTTTTCAAACAGGGAATAGTATCTTGAATCTAGGAATTCTCCTTTCCACCATAGCTTACATGAGAACTATAAACATTAATCATTAAAAAAAAGATTCTGAAAAACAAAGAACCAAAGAGTAAACCACAAGGAATGTTAGATGTCAGTATTCTATTAAAGATAATGTTGAGAAGAGATGGGTAGTAAATATCTGCTGCCAAGAAAAATACACAATAAGAATTCCAAAGGAACCCACAAATGGTTTCAGAGTAATCCCTCTTATCAGAAAAGTTATTACTGGCATTGTGGAAAGATTGTATTTTGGTGTCTTTGCCAAAATATTTTTCCCAGAAAGAAAAATGAATAACATTAACAGTGTGTAGTAAGTGCCTGCTATGTGTGAGGTGCTGGCTAAGTTGAATAGGACATCACCCCAGCCTCTAAGAAGCTCACAGTCTAGTAGACAAGATGGATATTTAAAATGCAATGTGGTGAGTACTAGAATAACCATACATGGGTAGCAAGTTCCACAAAAATATAGAGAAGAGAGTGTATCATGGGGGAATGAAATATGTTTGGAGCTTGAAGGACGAGCACAGTTTTCAGACAGAAAAAGGAAAAGCCTGTAAAACAACCTGCTGTTAGTGTTGAAGTGGTTTTTGCCTAACCTTTCCCACTGCTTGGCCACAGCAAGTGACATAGTGACAGTTTCATTTGTTGTAAAGAAAAAATTAGGATTGGAGAGAATTGTCTACGTAATTCTTGACCATTAAAATGCCGTATGGAGTGTGGATGGCATTTTCCAGGTTCCTGTGTTCAAGGACCTATAAGGCAGCTATGGGCCACGTGTAATTAAATTTATTTATACCTCCTGTGTTTTGTTTTGTTTTTTTCCCAGGCTTACTCCGTGTATGATGAAGAGATTGGCTATTGCCAGGGCCAGTCATTTCTCGCTGCTGTTCTGCTTCTCCATGTGAGTAATTAGATCTCTTCATGACTTGAGATGGTTTTGTATTGGCTTTAGTCAGACTTCAGGGTTTTAGCTCCTACAGCTGGAAACCTTTTCCTTAATTTAATGTCATCATGGAAGAGAAATACGGTAAGAATAAATGACATGTCGAAACTACTGTAAGAGTCCATTTCATTTTTATTACTAAGGTGATTGGATAGACTTTAGTCTTGGTTGGACCCTTGGGGACATTTTGTTTTCTCTAAAGTAGCCTCAGTCATTAGTATTTGTTCTAGGATTTAGGTATTGGGGCGGGAGGGAGGCAGAGATGTTGGCTTTCCTTTAGTACCATTTTATGCATTCACTCATTCAGCAAAGACCATTCATTACCTTCTACCTTATATTCTTTCAAATCCATAGTGAACTTGAAAAAATACTAAGGTGACATGCATGTACTTTCACCTAATTAGTATTTTTCCACCCTGCATTCTCCGTCTCTCTCTGTATCTCTCTTTTCCTGTTTTTTACACACACACACTTTATTTTTTACTGAAAAAATTTTTTGAAATGATTTTTGAAAACTAATAATCCCAAACATCAAGATACTTTACTTCTGAATACTTGTGCATGTATCTCCTAAGGACATAACCATAATACCATGATCACATCCAAGAAATTACACACTGATTCAGTAATAACCTACACAGTCCACAATTTTCCCTAATTGTTTATTCAGTGAAGTCCTTTATAGCTTTTCTTAACCAAAATCTGAATATTCAGGCATTGCCTTGGGTTGTCATTTCTCTTTAGTCTTTTAATCCAAACTGCCCCCTTGCCTATGTTGTATGTTTCATGCCATTGAAAGATTTTAAAAATTAAAGCAGATCGTCTTGTAAAACGTCCCACGTTCTTGATTTGTCTGATCATTTCCTCATGATTCAAGCTAAAATGCTTGGCAAAAATACCACACAGGTGATGTTAGCAAAGAGTGAGCTCCTTTTACACACTGTGCTGTGCCAGAGGTCTGGAGTGTGAGTAGACACAGTCCCAATTCTTATAGATACAGAGCCAGTGAAGCTGCCTAGGCTGTAAGCAAAAAATTACACAAGTGCAGGTGACCCTTGACCACGAACGAGGGTTTGAGTTGTGTGGGTCCACTTACATGCAGATCTTTTTCAATAAATATATTGGAAAATTTGGGGGGATTTGTGACAAAAAATTTTCTTTTCTCTAGTTCTATTGTAGGAATACAGCAGATAATAAAACATACACAATATTTGTTAATTGACTGTTAATGTTATTGATAAGGCTTCCTGTGTAAAGTTGGCTATTAGTAGTTAAGTTTTGGGGGCGTCAGAATTTACACATGGATTTTCAACTGCACAGGGGTTTGGTTCCCCTAACCCCTGCATTGTTCAAGGGTCAGTGTGAATTTTAGTGGCACTGTGAGGGTATAGTAAATAGTTTGATGCAAGATTATAACAGAAAACCTTATTTAGATTATAGGCTTCTCTGGGTGAACCCTGAGAAAGGAAAGTACATTTTCTTTTTACTTTTCTATGTCATTTCACTTTTTTTTTTTTTAACATTGTTACAAACAATTATAAAGCTATTTGAAAAGCTTGAGTCGAGAGTAGAACATCCCCAGCAGCAGGAATAGTACAGTATATGTAGAAGTTCTGACCTGGAGAAAACCTGGTAGATGAAAGGGCTGAAAGGAGGGCAGTGTGGCTGGAGCATCATGTGTGCTGGGGTCAGGAGAGGGGACTGGACGCCACCAGGACCAGCTTGAGGAGGCCAGGCCAAGGAGTCTGGGTTTTGTTTCTCTGAGCAAGAGAAAGCTTTTGAAGAGTTTTAAGACATTTTGTGTTGCTTATAATTCAAGTAAAACAAACCACTTTGAACCTTCTTACTGCGATCCTGGATTGTTGGTATTGGTAGCCGTATAAAAAAAAGATAAACCTAAGACAGATGTAAAGAGGGCAAGTTTTTTCCCCCAAGCTTTTTTGAGGTATTATTGACAAAAAGTGTGTGTGTGTACATATATTAGTGAACATACATATCTATACATGATATGATTGCCACAATCAAGCTTATTAACAACACATCCATCAAAATCTCAAGTTTGTTCTAATCAGACTTTGTATCTTGAAATCTCACAAGCCTGTGTGGTTTGTCTTTGTTTCCAACTTCAGTCCAAGGACATTTATTCCCACTGAAGTATCACATCCCCATTAAAATCGGTTTCTGATGAGATCCAGTGTCTCTTGTGCTGCTTGCCATCGTGTTAGGATAAATGCTGATTTTAGAATAAGGGGGTATATGCTACCTAACATCAGAAATGCTAGTGTGGGTCAGACCAGGTGGTCCCTCAGCCTGTTGAAGAGTGAAGTTGCCTTCCATTACAAAGACTTCAAAGATCTGCTCCTTTGCTCCAGATGCCTTTATTGTACCAACAATAATTTGCTGTGCATTTCTCACTTGTTACTTACTCTGATTTACTTTTCAACTCTTCTTTATTCCTGGTGATTTTTTTGTGCACAGTCCACCTCCATCATCTTATTCCACAGAAGCCTGCCTGTGGTCTTGACATTTATAGGCTTGTTCCAGTCATACCAAGCCTTAAATAACGTTTCCAGTGCTTATTTTCTATTTTGAAAATGACGTTTTACCAGTTTCTCAGAGAAATACTTTTCCATAAAGCTGTGGAAGGTGTGTGTATTATTTTAAATGGGTAACATATGTAAATAAAAACAAGATAGGGTTTTCAGAGTATTTTAAGTATTACTGCAAGTGCTATGTAGTAAATTAAGCATTCCTGCAAACCTTAGAATATGTAAGGTTTTTCTGTAACTAGCCATGCTTTTAACAACAGTGAGGTTAAAAAAAACATTTTTACTAGAATGAAATAGCAGCCAAGGAGGTAAAATGATTGAACAAAGGTCTAATGATTTGAGAAAGATGAAATTTCTACTTGTGTATCAGCCTCTTCCTACTCAGTTCAAATCCTGTCCCCTTGACAGTCCATTCATGAGCACATGCAGACTCATGCTTTCTTGTCCTTGTATTCCCACTGATCTTTCTGCCTAATTCATATTACACTTACTACATAGTGGACATGTGGGGGCTCCTGGAGGACGAGAACAGTGTTTGACACATAATAGGCATCATTAAATATTTCTTGGTTGAGTGAATGAATGTAAGTTACCGCATACCACTACATTTCCTGGTACTCAGATAAGAAACTAGAGGATGAGTTGAACATACTGAGAAAAGTTGTGTATATGATGTTTGTGATTCCCCTCCTGCTGTCTGTTACAGATGCCTGAAGAACAGGCATTCAGTGTTCTGGTCAAGATCATGTTTGACTATGGTCTCAGGGAACTGTTCAAGCAAAACTTTGAAGATTTGCATTGCAAATTTTACCAGTTGGAGCGCCTCATGCAGGTAAAAAGAGAAACCACCTTGCATTTGCCAGTAAGGGCGTAGGACTGGAGAGAAACAGGACTGCTGAAATGGTGCTCATGAGCCGTGGGGATTGCCTTAGCCTCCCAGGGTTGAGGACGGCTTTTATGCTTCTCATTTCTCACTGTGTGATGGTGAGGCCAAGATTAATACAGTGTGAATCTGATAGGTGTGAGCCAGATTTTCAGTCTCAAAAACACCTAAAAGGTAGATGACCTTGGTTAACACATCATACCCAGGCAGGTAATAATTCACCAAGGCTCTAAAGCTGACTTGTTAGGTATCTCATAACAAACTTGAAACAAACTTTCCCAAATATTTTAAAGCTTGGAAAGAAAAACTGTCCTTCCAAATGTTAGCCACCTTTTTGGGGATTCCTGTTTCAGAGCTAGTTTGTGGACTAGAAAAGAGAGCTGAGCGTCAGTTTAATACGAGATGATGTGTTTTTCTGAGTACTTTGGAGGTCTTTAGAAAAATACAAATTTGTGACTTTTTGGCCTATTCCTGGCAGATTTATGAGCCTCCTGAGTAGAGTTAAACAGTTGCCTATGTGCCCAAAACTAATTCGTTTGCTTATTTCAGGAATACATTCCTGACCTGTACAACCACTTCCTGGATATAAGCCTTGAAGCACACATGTATGCCTCCCAGTGGTTTCTTACACTTTTCACTGCAAAATTCCCTCTCTACATGGTCTTCCATATCATCGACCTGCTTTTATGTGAGGTATGTATCTGGGGCCATCACACTTTGGTTTTGTTTGCAGTGTCCTTACTGTGTCAGTGCTGTCAAAGCAGAGTTTTCTTCTCAGTTATTTAATTTCAGTGCTAGAAAATCCAGGTTTAAGTAACTCTTCCTTGGGCTGAAATTAACATATTTTGTTAAGGTGCTGTCTCTTAAAAAAAAAAGCCACATAGCAGACTTTTTTATTAAAGTAGTATTAGGCTTGGCTACATTTATTGAAAAAGTCCATACCAACAATAATGACTACATAAGTTAGGGGGTTATTTCTCTCATGTAAAAAAAAAAAAAAAAAGCCAGAAGGTTGGCAATAACCTGCCTTCCCTAGAGTGCGACTCTCATCCTTGTGGCTGATGAGAGCTCCAGCCACCATGTCAGCCATCATTTAAGCTGAGAGAGCTAGAGGACAGGGGAAGGTGCGTTCATTCTTTCAGAAGAGACTTCCTGAAGGTTCTGCCCACATTTCCGTGTAATCTCTTACTGGTGAGAATTTAAGTATATGACCACATGTAGCTTCAAGGGAGATTTTTTTATAAGCTTGGGTAGGAATTTGCCAAAAATTGGGGGAAGGGAGTATCTATTACTAAAACAAGATTGATATCCCAGTAAATAACAGCATTTGCCACAGCATAGGTTTGGGTTTGGGGTTGTATGTGTTTTTTTTTTTTTTATTAATTTCAAAAATAATATGTTTATTATAGAAGCTGTAGAAAATATAAGCAAAATATTTTAAAATACTTGTAATCCCATTATTCAGAGGGTAATTTCAATTTCAACATTTTGGTGTATATTCTTTCATCTTTTTTTGTGTTCATCATCTATATATATATATATATGTGTGTGTGTGTATGTGTATATATATATATATTATGTATATGCATGTATAACCTTTTTATGGAGTATTTTTCTTCCATATGGAATATTATATCATGTACAGTATGGTTCCATATGTATATATCTAAAAGTATGATTATGCTATTTGGTAACCTCTTTTTTCAGTTCATATACTTGAACATCTGTAGACACACAGACATTTGTACCACCTTTCCTTTTGTTTATGTTTATGAATTATGCCATATTCAGAACATAAAAAACCCACTGAAGAATTTGTATCTTCTATGTAGCTTGAAACATTCTAAGAAATAAAAGCATAGACCATTATTATTGCTGCCAGGTGTCCCATTCTTTGGATATACCATAATTTTTGTATCCAATTGCTAATCTCATACCTTGTCTTTTTTTTCAGTGCCATACAACCATTTGTTAAGAAGTTATTAGGACTGGTGGCATGCTCAGTAATTTATATAAACTTTTCAACTAATTAGCTCAGAAATACTTGTTATGGAAACTAAGGCCCAAAAACTTAAATAGTTTAATTTGACCAAAAGCTGTTCATGGTTCACGTCATCTGTCCTTTGCCCCCACCACTCCCAGAATGGTTAGATGAACAAGAGCATATTGGAGGGAACCCTGAGCAGCTTCCACTCTGAAGTACAGGGCCCCTGGGTAGAGTGAGTGCTGTACTCGGAGTGGGCAGCGCAGAATAAAGGAAAAGTCCACAAGGAGTGACTGCCTGATAAGTCATAATTTTATGACTCTGAAGTTTTGGGTTGGAAAGGCATGTAATACATTGCAAAAGCATTCTCTCACTGAATTTGAGAATAGGGCTACAAAGATCTTTCCTCAGATAAATGGGAGACTTGGTCTACTTTCAGTGCTTTTATAGTGGTGGCCCTGTAATTTTTATTTGCCAAGACATTTTTAAGATACTCCATTTCTTTACTTACTGTTTTCCAATTGTGGGGTATTCTGAGGACAAACAGCTTGATAGTCCAGATGTAAACACTGAAAATGTTCTTTTTTGTTTTCTCTTTTAGGGAATAAGTGTTATTTTTAATGTCGCCCTTGGATTATTAAAGGTACACATTTATTCATAAGATGAGTTATCTGGCAATCCCTGTTCAGCACTTACAAACCTCTGTATAAAGTTTTATTCTGAGTAGCCACTGTGCTCTAGAGCCCCTGACAGAGGGTATGTGCAAGTGGCTCTGGCTAAGGCTAAGAAGTTTCTTGGGATTATAAAGATGCTGGGATTATAAAATCCTTCCTGTGCATCTTTCATAGCAGAGAACTTTTTCTGATACATGGTTATGTTTTCTTCAAGACTTCCAAGGATGATTTGCTATTGACAGACTTTGAAGGTGCCTTGAAGTTCTTCAGGGTTCAGCTTCCTAAGAGATACCGCTCAGAAGAAAATGCAAAAAAACTAATGGAATTAGCTTGCAACATGAAGGTAAAAGAAGTTTTGCAGTAGTTTAGGTTCTTTTGTTCAGGTAATGCTTTGTTATTCCTGATGAAACCATCAGCATTTATTATGTAAGAATAACAATGTTTTCTTTTGCATTGTATAATTTTTTCTTAAATATTTTCATATGTGTTATACCCTATGCATTGAATCTCATTGCCTCCCCCAGCCTTTGAACTCTAGGAAGGATATTATTGTCCCCATTTTGAAGACAAACCCAAACACACAGGTTGTAGCCCCCAGAGCCACACAGCTAGTTAGTGGCAGAACTCAGGGTTCATGATTTCTGCTCTGCCATCCTTTTAACTTTCAATGTCTGTGGTTGTAATCAGAAATTCCTTAAAGTGAAACTAATAATACATGAAGGAAACCCACTGAGTTCCATCACTTTCAATGGCACTCATGATTTGTACAATTTTTTAAGGTAAAAGAAATGTATTTCCTTGTGTTCATGTTGTAAAAAAGGTTTATTTTTAAAGAAGTAGTAATTGAGGGAGTTAGGTGGAATTTGGGGATAAAGGCAAATGGGGGGACAGAATAAGTAGCTGTATTCACATTCTTACAGAGTACATAAAAGAGACTGTTATACTTAATGAAGACTCCAGAGGCTAAAACTGGGATCTGTGTGTCGGGGCAGATGTGGTAGGGGAGAAACTTCACTATCTATCAAATAGAGCATGGAGTTGGAATCAGAGATGTGAATTCACTTATCTAAGGTGCAGTTTCCTTATCTATAAAATAATATTGGACTTCTGTTCTGGTTACATGACAGACTGAGCTAACTCAGGCTACCCTTGTTTGAACACTTGGGAGATGCTAAAAAAATAAAATGAAGAAATGTTTAAATACCTGGATAAACTTGAAATGCCCAAGTACCTAAACCAAAGTAACTCAAAGCTAGTGTATGTGAACTTACAAAACAGCATCCCAGGGGAATATGGTACTCTAGGTAGGTATTAGAGTTTAATGCTCATGAATACATACATGATTTGGGACCTTAATTGAAATGGAAATCTCTGCATAAGTTAGAACCTAGGGGTGGCTGTCCTCTCTGAAAGAGGGAATGCAAGAGCTACCTGCTGGCCCAGGAGACAGTAGAAATCATAATGTAAAATTGGTGGAGGGAGTGGGGGTAGTGTTGAAGAAAAAGGAAATAGAACTTTAGAAATTAAGACAGTCATTTAAGTTTTCATTCAAATTGCAATGTTCACAGGTTGAAGTAGTTCACAAAAGTATTGTGGAAAACGTGTGACGGTAGTTACCATTTGCCAGGTAATGTGTCTGAGGATAACTGCAATATATGTGCAATGCTTACCATAGTGCCTGGTGTAATTAGTTAGGGTTCCAGAAATGGTGGCTACTACTATGATTATTTCCTGTCTCGTTTTTCAAGCAGATATCAAATGATCACTTTGGGGGACATTTTCATAGATGGTGTACACAGAGCATAAAACCCAGTGAGCTTTGAGGTTCTTTGAGTCACTGTTTGCCCCTCAGCGTGGTTCAGCATGCAAGAGGATGCTGCCTCTTTTCTTGCTTATGATTCTTGCCATCCAAAACTTGCTCCTTTCTCAGTGTCCCTTCTCAAAATCATGGTATCTGGTTGCTCAGGCAAAGACCTTGCTGTCCTCCTCAACGCATGTCTTGAATCTGATCACTTCCCACCCCCTTCATCACTAACACCCAAGTATAACCATCATCACTTCTCTTCTGGAATATTGTGGTAGAAAACTCAAAAGGTTTTGCCTTGGCCTACAAGGTTTGGCACCGTCAGACCTCTGGCCATCTCTCTGATTTCATCTACTGCTTTTCCCCCTCAACGCTTTCCATCTCAGATGCGCTGGCCTCCTTGCAGTTCTCAAGTACGCCAAGCATGTTCCCTCCTCAGGCCTTTTCAGGCTGGTCTCTGCCCATAACGCTCTTCTCAGTGTCCAGATGGCTTCACTGTTGACTCATGCAGTCTTAGGCTCAAGTGTCATGCCATCAGAGAGGCTCTCTGATTACAGTGTGTAAAGTAGCAGCCCTCCCAAGACTTTATACCTATAACTCCTTACCCTAACTTGTTTTCCTCTAATCACTTATTGCTACTTAACATTATTTTATGTTTTTTTTTGGTTATGATCTGCCCCCACGCCCACCCTTTGGGATTAAACCTGTGACAGATGAGACTTCATTTCTTTTGTTTAGTGCTGAGTCCCCAGCACAACAGGATTTGACATGTAAATAGTGGTTGAATGAGTGAATAAATGAATCCACTGTTGAGTTTCTACCGGGTGTTTTACAAAGAAAAGTTAGGATGGTTTGGGAAGGCTTAAAAAATGGCTTCCAGCTGAAGGTTTTAATTTTTGGGTTATCAATTAGCATGAAACACCTTGATAATACATGGATCCCTTATTTTCATACTCCATATGGGAGTGTCTAGTGTCTTTTTTCCCTGGCCAGTGCTTTCCAGGAGTTAAGATAGACAAGACTGCACAGCAGACATATTTGTGCTTGGATGTGTAATTCCTTCTGGAATTACTCTGCATGGAGAACTCTGTGTGGCTGGGGTACACTTTGGAGGACCCCCCTACTGGGACATAGTTTCTGGTAAGAAAGATAGTAATTTTTCTTGAAATCAACTCACAACATGGAAAGCCTACAGATTCATCAGGACATAAGCAAAGAAGATTTTTCTGCTAAAAGGTAGGATATGGTGTGTACAGTTTAGTTAGTAGTGATTAGTTGTACTCTGGCAGCCATACTTACCTAGAAAAAATACTAAGGGAGATATAGTCAATGGTTGAGCCAATTATTGTCAAAGAACCTCACTCACAGTGACAGTTTGCCATCTCAGAAATGATAAAAGTCATTGGTGCGCAGGCATGAACCCTGCATTGTGTAGGCAGCATGAGTTAGGACGGCCTCGGTCCGGAGGGGGTATATGTGACAATTGGAGGTTGGAGGCCCCATCACATATGGAAAAGGGAATGGTTTTGAAACTGGCTTTTGAAATTTTTGGTGTAGAATTTAGAAAGGAAACATTGGCTCTATTACTCATTGAAATCCCATTCCATTATTTTTTAATTTTTTTTTTTAAATTATGGCTTGGTTTTCTCAGTCATGCTTCCTGACTGAGATGGGAGCTGGGAGCACTTCCCTTGTGCGCCGGTCCAGGGGCCCCACCTGCTTCTGCTGCTGTTAATTGTTGTCATGTTTCAACAACTATGATGTTGTAATTTCTGGTGTTTGTTTACTTTTTATAAGTACCTCATTTCTTCCTGACCATACCCTGTGAAGTACATAAGGCAAATACAGTGTGGAATATGAGGCTTATAGAAGTCAAGTGACTTACCCACCAGGTACTAGCGGGCGGTGACAGGAGCCCTCATGGAACTCAGACCTTTGACTTTGACTTCACATTTCTAATGCTTTCCACTCCATTGCACTGCCTCTTTTCATTGCAAAAGTGCAATCAATAGAATTAAATTTAAATTTGGTGTGGCAGTATCTGAAATGGCCACAAGATGGGTGTATCGCTCAAAAAGGTCTATATTCCTGTCTGCCGCGTGTCTTCCTTTCTTCCTCTGTGCCTGTCCTTATTTGCCTCTTTTCTCTTTTCAGCCCTTTTACTTCTCCCCTTCTCTCTTTCTTCTTAGTTTATTAAGGGACTGAAATATTGCATTTATTTCTTGAGGCGTTTCAGATCTCCTTTGACTCTAAAATTTAATATCAAAACTCATTTAGCTGTCTATTGAATTGCTCCCCATTTATAGGTCATGACCTGAGATAGAAGATTGTTTCCACTTTCTATATAATATCTAAAAAGAATTTCACCTTAGATTTTTTTCCAGGTGATCATGAATGGCCCTAGGAACTCCATAACCCATTCTTAACTCAAAACTGTGCCATGTATCATCTTGAGAGGGAGGGAATGGAAAAAAATTAATTCTTAGGCCTTTAAAATGTTTGATTCAAGAAATATGTGAGCAACTGTTTATGTCTCTACGTAAAGAGTTTTGAGAACAACTCATATATATGAGGCTAGTTTAGAAGAAGCAGGAACCATGCAAAAAGGCAGTGCTCAGTGGGTTTATTAGATCAAACCTAGAATCTTGCCTTAGGGGAAATGGAATTTCAGAACCATTACTTCATTGGAATTTGTTATTTCAAACAAAGCAAATATGCTAGTCTTCAAACTACCTGTAAGAAAAAATTCTAGAAAAACTAAATAGCAGTCTCCAAATAAATGAAATCCTAACCATTTGCTGTTTGGAGTAACAGAAAATTCTTCAGCATTTGAGGATACTTGCCCTCAGGGGATGCTCTTATTCATGAGCTAAAAGCACACTAGTTTGAACTTCATTCTCTGCTCAGATCGTGTGCAGTTGGTGTGAGAGTTAGGATTTTAAGCTCCAGGATTACAGTGACTTCATCAGTCTTGTTTCTTGATGTGTTCACAAAGTCTTGCAGTGTCTACACAGCAAATTGATCTTTACAGTGATTTGACCATACAAAGTCATTTTATAGATATGTATAGTGAAGCTTAGAGAATTCAAGAAAACTCCCATAGGATATGAAGTTAGTGAGTGATGGAGCTGTGATTAAGTCCCAGGAATTTCAGACTCTGAAGTCAATGCTTATCGTCACTGCCCTTTACTGTAAATGAGGGGTTGAGTGAATGGGACAAGGGCCACTTGTATCGCTCCATTTTTGGTGATGTTCATCATGTAGTGATGGGTAATTCAGTTTCTCTGTCAGTTTTGAAACTTCCTCTCTGTACACTGCAGCTGAATCCAGTTTTTCTTATAACTATATAAGGCTGTAGTTTTACCTTTTGGCCTGTTTCTACCTTTTAGAACTGGATTTCATGAGGAAACATCTTAGTGGGTGCTCTTTTTCTCTGCAGGGAATCCTAAATTTTGCTCTTAGTTTCAATGGTAGTGGTGGTAACTACCTTCTTATTTCAATACACTGTTCTCCTCTGATCCTTATCTGTATTTGGGACCTCTACTACTAATTTGCTTATTACATTTTAGAAAAATACTCTGGTGGTAGAACCAGAATGTCTGATTCTATTTCATGATCTTTGAGGGAGTTTGAGCCTGAACTGTTTGAACAGATATATAAAAAGGCTCAGAAATTAAATAGATGTTGATTTGTTTCAAAGGGTTACAAGTGTGAACATTGGAGGCTATGGCCCTTGGCTCTCATCCTGGCTCTGCATGTGCTGCGAGACCCGAGGTAGGTTAGCTATAGCAGGGTTGTAGAGAGGGAGAGGTGATGCCTTTAGAGTAGGTGCTGCTCTTCTGATGATGATCTTCGTCATCCCTCAAGCACCGAGGATCGCCCAGACCTCTACTTGTCGTCAGTCAGTTCAAGTCAACACACATTTAGAGATTTTCCTGTGTGCCAAGAATTGTGCTTGGTACTAAGCATGCTGCAGAGATAGATAAGAAACAAGACTCACCCCAGGTTTGCCTTCTTGGGCTGTTACCACCTAACAGACTAGGTCCTTGACTTTGGACAAGTAACTTTACCTATTGAGGTCTCAGCTCCCCATCAGCAAAACGAGGGTGAGAATCCCTACCATACTCATGTCAGCAAGTTGTTCTAAGGATTAAGTAAATAGTAGGTATAGAGGTATCTTCTGATCTTGAAAGCCCCACATAAATCTCAGGTTCTTTTAATGTATAACTGAAAAGTGAAGTCCTTGCCCTTCCTCCAAAGAAGGAAGATGGACTTGTATCAGATGATTTTGGGGTCAGGACCTCCTTAATGTACCAGACCTCCTCCTACCCACACTGTCTCTCACACAACATCCACCCTGCCATTCAGAGCTCCTTCCTGGACTCCCTGTGAGCCCAGCTGAGATTCTGATCTTTTCAATAGTTTCTTAAGCCAGACTTGGAAACCAGCTCCTACTTGCTCTCAGCAGCCTATTTCCTGATCTTCTGTGTTGAGTGGACTTTGTTTACATGGCTCCCTGTCTGCAGTGCATGTTTAGAGGATAGCTGGTTCTGGTTTGGGACAAGAATGTGGGTAATAGCAACAGTAATAGTTACCCTTTATAAAAAGATCTCACTGCATGCCTAGCATTCTGAGCTCTTTATAATATGTTTTATGTCATGTGATCTTAAGATTGCTGGGATTTTCACTGATGAGAAACCTGAGGCTGAGATAAGGCATATAGTAGGTCATAAAATAAGTCATAGGCAGTGCCTGGGCTCAAGCCTTGGTCTGTCCATGCACAGAGCCCAAGATCTTAGGGGCGGACTGTAGCACCTCCCTCACCCACGTCTGCAGGCACTCTTCCTCTTCTTCATCTGTATTCCGGAGGCAGGTCAGGGACCAGCTTTCCCAGGGCAAGTAGCGCGTATCTTAAGAGGGCGCATTATCTGATTACCAAGGTAGATCAATGATAGTGAGTGACCATGGGAGAGGGGTTTTGGACTAAATTTGTACTTCTACTAAAATGTCAAACTGGCATGTTCCAAGTCTCCACCTTCTCTCTAATTCAAGGTTTCTTAACCTGGGACTATGGATGGGCCCCAGGGAGCCCATGAGCCCTCTGAAATGGTATGTAGAATGTTTTATTGCTGGGGGTGGGAAAAGGGTGGAGTTGGCATCTGTGTTTTTTTATGAGAAGGTGAAGAATCCTGAAAGTGAAAAATCACAGTGAATTTTAAGAGAACCATGGCTTTCAGGAGGCCTTCAGAGTGTTCCTGTCCCTCTAACAGTGTTAAGAACTACTGTAGTAACAGCACTGGAGTATAAAATCAGTTTTAGCTAAATTACAAACTCAGTCTTTTTCCAGAAAATAGTACATTAAAACAGATTTGAAATTTAATCATCTTTGAGGGCAAAAATACTATTTGTGGAAATAGTATTTCCACAGCCTTCTGATAGGAGTCAGCCAGCAGTGGATATGACTCACAGCTCAGGGGCATATTTCATAGCTCCTCTGCTTCCTGAATTACATTGAAAACGTTATTGATAGAAGACAAAATGAACCTTGGACTTTGAGAGCGAGGACTGTCTCTCTGTTCCTTGGGTATTTTCATGCTTACTGTGTGCCAGGCATTAGGGCTCTCACAGCGAACTAGAGTTCTGGTCTGTGTGGAGTTAGTGTCTTGTGATATATGTATACATCTTTGTATCACTAATGCTTAGCAAAGAACACTGTACATAGTAGTGCTTCCCCACCGGATAAATAAATGTTCCTCTGCATCCTTATTAGGTTAAAAGGAAGGCTGCTGGCTCTGATTTGTTCAACATCTGTTAATTGAGTCCTGATTATGTTCCAAGCATCGAGCTAGGCATTGGAGATACGGTGGTAAGCAAAGTGAATATGGCCTGTTTCCTGGTGGGAAGACAGGCCATCAAGTAAGCATACAAATAACTGAGAGCTTGTGCAGGCGCCATGGAGGAATGTACATGGTGCCATGAGAATAAAGAATGAAAGGCCTGGCCTGGAAAAGGGAAGAGGATTTTGGGGAAGATTCACTAGAGTGATATTGGAGCTCTGGTCTGAAAGGTGAACAGGAGTGAATCAGGGCCGCCCCTGTTCAGGCAGAAGGACCGGGCTTTTAGTGCATGTGCAATTTGGTCACAGTTTCTGTTCAGTAGAGGCATCAGTGCAAAGAAGAAGGGGTCTTTTCTCATTACCTTAGCAAGCATTAGGGTGTTCTCTGTGTGCACAGGCAGGGGACAGTGATGTGTGAGCCACACAGCTGACTGGCAGAGGCACTGATACAGTGCAGGCAAGCTGAGACATGCTGGTCTTTCCTGGGTGCAGCCTCATAAGGAGGCTTGAACTGCTTTGCTGTTGGTGCCTTTTGGCTCCCTGTTGAGGATCAGGCAACAGACTTTCTCAGGGCTATGCCTCAGAGACAGCCTGAACAAGGTGGCTGTGCCACACTGCCACCCATGCTCCAGAAGTCAAGATCGGTGCCAGCCCACTGTGAGCAGTGTTTTTGTTCACGGTGGGGGTGAGGGTTAGGCCTTTAAGGAAGGAGAGAGAAACTGAGAACAAGTGAGGCTGAGAAATAGGAAAGGAAGGTGAGCCTGAGCTGGTAAAGAAGTCAGAACTCTGGACCAGCAAGCTCTGCAAAAGACATAAGAGCTTTGTCTGTTACCAGTCCTGAGGGGTGACCCTGAGTACTCATTCAGGAACACACTAGGGGCTGTCATTGAGAGAAGTGAGCACATCTCTTAGAGAAGCCTGGAGTAATTACGAGAATTATTTTTAAACAGCATTTATTTTTTTACTCAATTACAGAAATAATTTATGCTCAATACAGAAAATTTAGGAAACATGGGAAACATATAAAGAGGTGCCCATATCCTGTCATGAAAGTGTAAGAACCAAATGACATAACATGTGTAATTTGCCATCTCAGAAATGATAAAAGTCATTGGTGCGCAGGCATGAACCCTGCATTGTGTAGGCAGCATGAGTTAGGACGGCCTCGGTCCGGAGGGGGTATATGTGACAATTGGAGGTTGGAGGCCCCATCACATATGGAAAAGGGAATGGTTTTGAAACTGGCTTTTGAAATTTTTGGTGTAGAATTTAGAAAGGAAACATTGGCTCTATTACTCATTGAAATCCCATTCCATTATTTTTTAATTTTTTTTTTTAAATTATGGCTTGGTTTTCTCAGTCATGCTTCCTGACTGAGATGGGAGCTGGGAGCACTTCCCTTGTGCGCCGGTCCAGGGGCCCCACCTGCTTCTGCTGCTGTTAATTGTTGTCATGTTTCAACAACTATGATGTTGTAATTTCTGGTGTTTGTTTACTTTTTATAAGTACCTCATTTCTTCCTGACCATACCCTGTGAAGTACATAAGGCAAATACAGTGTGGAATATGAGGCTTATAGAAGTCAAGTGACTTACCCACCAGGTACTAGCGGGCGGTGACAGGAGCCCTCATGGAACTCAGACCTTTGACTTTGACTTCACATTTCTAATGCTTTCCACTCCATTGCACTGCCTCTTTTCATTGCAAAAGTGCAATCAATAGAATTAAATTTAAATTTGGTGTGGCAGTATCTGAAATGGCCACAAGATGGGTGTATCGCTCAAAAAGGTCTATATTCCTGTCTGCCGCGTGTCTTCCTTTCTTCCTCTGTGCCTGTCCTTATTTGCCTCTTTTCTCTTTTCAGCCCTTTTACTTCTCCCCTTCTCTCTTTCTTCTTAGTTTATTAAGGGACTGAAATATTGCATTTATTTCTTGAGGCGTTTCAGATCTCCTTTGACTCTAAAATTTAATATCAAAACTCATTTAGCTGTCTATTGAATTGCTCCCCATTTATAGGTCATGACCTGAGATAGAAGATTGTTTCCACTTTCTATATAATATCTAAAAAGAATTTCACCTTAGATTTTTTTCCAGGTGATCATGAATGGCCCTAGGAACTCCATAACCCATTCTTAACTCAAAACTGTGCCATGTATCATCTTGAGAGGGAGGGAATGGAAAAAAATTAATTCTTAGGCCTTTAAAATGTTTGATTCAAGAAATATGTGAGCAACTGTTTATGTCTCTACGTAAAGAGTTTTGAGAACAACTCATATATATGAGGCTAGTTTAGAAGAAGCAGGAACCATGCAAAAAGGCAGTGCTCAGTGGGTTTATTAGATCAAACCTAGAATCTTGCCTTAGGGGAAATGGAATTTCAGAACCATTACTTCATTGGAATTTGTTATTTCAAACAAAGCAAATATGCTAGTCTTCAAACTACCTGTAAGAAAAAATTCTAGAAAAACTAAATAGCAGTCTCCAAATAAATGAAATCCTAACCATTTGCTGTTTGGAGTAACAGAAAATTCTTCAGCATTTGAGGATACTTGCCCTCAGGGGATGCTCTTATTCATGAGCTAAAAGCACACTAGTTTGAACTTCATTCTCTGCTCAGATCGTGTGCAGTTGGTGTGAGAGTTAGGATTTTAAGCTCCAGGATTACAGTGACTTCATCAGTCTTGTTTCTTGATGTGTTCACAAAGTCTTGCAGTGTCTACACAGCAAATTGATCTTTACAGTGATTTGACCATACAAAGTCATTTTATAGATATGTATAGTGAAGCTTAGAGAATTCAAGAAAACTCCCATAGGATATGAAGTTAGTGAGTGATGGAGCTGTGATTAAGTCCCAGGAATTTCAGACTCTGAAGTCAATGCTTATCGTCACTGCCCTTTACTGTAAATGAGGGGTTGAGTGAATGGGACAAGGGCCACTTGTATCGCTCCATTTTTGGTGATGTTCATCATGTAGTGATGGGTAATTCAGTTTCTCTGTCAGTTTTGAAACTTCCTCTCTGTACACTGCAGCTGAATCCAGTTTTTCTTATAACTATATAAGGCTGTAGTTTTACCTTTTGGCCTGTTTCTACCTTTTAGAACTGGATTTCATGAGGAAACATCTTAGTGGGTGCTCTTTTTCTCTGCAGGGAATCCTAAATTTTGCTCTTAGTTTCAATGGTAGTGGTGGTAACTACCTTCTTATTTCAATACACTGTTCTCCTCTGATCCTTATCTGTATTTGGGACCTCTACTACTAATTTGCTTATTACATTTTAGAAAAATACTCTGGTGGTAGAACCAGAATGTCTGATTCTATTTCATGATCTTTGAGGGAGTTTGAGCCTGAACTGTTTGAACAGATATATAAAAAGGCTCAGAAATTAAATAGATGTTGATTTGTTTCAAAGGGTTACAAGTGTGAACATTGGAGGCTATGGCCCTTGGCTCTCATCCTGGCTCTGCATGTGCTGCGAGACCCGAGGTAGGTTAGCTATAGCAGGGTTGTAGAGAGGGAGAGGTGATGCCTTTAGAGTAGGTGCTGCTCTTCTGATGATGATCTTCGTCATCCCTCAAGCACCGAGGATCGCCCAGACCTCTACTTGTCGTCAGTCAGTTCAAGTCAACACACATTTAGAGATTTTCCTGTGTGCCAAGAATTGTGCTTGGTACTAAGCATGCTGCAGAGATAGATAAGAAACAAGACTCACCCCAGGTTTGCCTTCTTGGGCTGTTACCACCTAACAGACTAGGTCCTTGACTTTGGACAAGTAACTTTACCTATTGAGGTCTCAGCTCCCCATCAGCAAAACGAGGGTGAGAATCCCTACCATACTCATGTCAGCAAGTTGTTCTAAGGATTAAGTAAATAGTAGGTATAGAGGTATCTTCTGATCTTGAAAGCCCCACATAAATCTCAGGTTCTTTTAATGTATAACTGAAAAGTGAAGTCCTTGCCCTTCCTCCAAAGAAGGAAGATGGACTTGTATCAGATGATTTTGGGGTCAGGACCTCCTTAATGTACCAGACCTCCTCCTACCCACACTGTCTCTCACACAACATCCACCCTGCCATTCAGAGCTCCTTCCTGGACTCCCTGTGAGCCCAGCTGAGATTCTGATCTTTTCAATAGTTTCTTAAGCCAGACTTGGAAACCAGCTCCTACTTGCTCTCAGCAGCCTATTTCCTGATCTTCTGTGTTGAGTGGACTTTGTTTACATGGCTCCCTGTCTGCAGTGCATGTTTAGAGGATAGCTGGTTCTGGTTTGGGACAAGAATGTGGGTAATAGCAACAGTAATAGTTACCCTTTATAAAAAGATCTCACTGCATGCCTAGCATTCTGAGCTCTTTATAATATGTTTTATGTCATGTGATCTTAAGATTGCTGGGATTTTCACTGATGAGAAACCTGAGGCTGAGATAAGGCATATAGTAGGTCATAAAATAAGTCATAGGCAGTGCCTGGGCTCAAGCCTTGGTCTGTCCATGCACAGAGCCCAAGATCTTAGGGGCGGACTGTAGCACCTCCCTCACCCACGTCTGCAGGCACTCTTCCTCTTCTTCATCTGTATTCCGGAGGCAGGTCAGGGACCAGCTTTCCCAGGGCAAGTAGCGCGTATCTTAAGAGGGCGCATTATCTGATTACCAAGGTAGATCAATGATAGTGAGTGACCATGGGAGAGGGGTTTTGGACTAAATTTGTACTTCTACTAAAATGTCAAACTGGCATGTTCCAAGTCTCCACCTTCTCTCTAATTCAAGGTTTCTTAACCTGGGACTATGGATGGGCCCCAGGGAGCCCATGAGCCCTCTGAAATGGTATGTAGAATGTTTTATTGCTGGGGGTGGGAAAAGGGTGGAGTTGGCATCTGTGTTTTTTTATGAGAAGGTGAAGAATCCTGAAAGTGAAAAATCACAGTGAATTTTAAGAGAACCATGGCTTTCAGGAGGCCTTCAGAGTGTTCCTGTCCCTCTAACAGTGTTAAGAACTACTGTAGTAACAGCACTGGAGTATAAAATCAGTTTTAGCTAAATTACAAACTCAGTCTTTTTCCAGAAAATAGTACATTAAAACAGATTTGAAATTTAATCATCTTTGAGGGCAAAAATACTATTTGTGGAAATAGTATTTCCACAGCCTTCTGATAGGAGTCAGCCAGCAGTGGATATGACTCACAGCTCAGGGGCATATTTCATAGCTCCTCTGCTTCCTGAATTACATTGAAAACGTTATTGATAGAAGACAAAATGAACCTTGGACTTTGAGAGCGAGGACTGTCTCTCTGTTCCTTGGGTATTTTCATGCTTACTGTGTGCCAGGCATTAGGGCTCTCACAGCGAACTAGAGTTCTGGTCTGTGTGGAGTTAGTGTCTTGTGATATATGTATACATCTTTGTATCACTAATGCTTAGCAAAGAACACTGTACATAGTAGTGCTTCCCCACCGGATAAATAAATGTTCCTCTGCATCCTTATTAGGTTAAAAGGAAGGCTGCTGGCTCTGATTTGTTCAACATCTGTTAATTGAGTCCTGATTATGTTCCAAGCATCGAGCTAGGCATTGGAGATACGGTGGTAAGCAAAGTGAATATGGCCTGTTTCCTGGTGGGAAGACAGGCCATCAAGTAAGCATACAAATAACTGAGAGCTTGTGCAGGCGCCATGGAGGAATGTACATGGTGCCATGAGAATAAAGAATGAAAGGCCTGGCCTGGAAAAGGGAAGAGGATTTTGGGGAAGATTCACTAGAGTGATATTGGAGCTCTGGTCTGAAAGGTGAACAGGAGTGAATCAGGGCCGCCCCTGTTCAGGCAGAAGGACCGGGCTTTTAGTGCATGTGCAATTTGGTCACAGTTTCTGTTCAGTAGAGGCATCAGTGCAAAGAAGAAGGGGTCTTTTCTCATTACCTTAGCAAGCATTAGGGTGTTCTCTGTGTGCACAGGCAGGGGACAGTGATGTGTGAGCCACACAGCTGACTGGCAGAGGCACTGATACAGTGCAGGCAAGCTGAGACATGCTGGTCTTTCCTGGGTGCAGCCTCATAAGGAGGCTTGAACTGCTTTGCTGTTGGTGCCTTTTGGCTCCCTGTTGAGGATCAGGCAACAGACTTTCTCAGGGCTATGCCTCAGAGACAGCCTGAACAAGGTGGCTGTGCCACACTGCCACCCATGCTCCAGAAGTCAAGATCGGTGCCAGCCCACTGTGAGCAGTGTTTTTGTTCACGGTGGGGGTGAGGGTTAGGCCTTTAAGGAAGGAGAGAGAAACTGAGAACAAGTGAGGCTGAGAAATAGGAAAGGAAGGTGAGCCTGAGCTGGTAAAGAAGTCAGAACTCTGGACCAGCAAGCTCTGCAAAAGACATAAGAGCTTTGTCTGTTACCAGTCCTGAGGGGTGACCCTGAGTACTCATTCAGGAACACACTAGGGGCTGTCATTGAGAGAAGTGAGCACATCTCTTAGAGAAGCCTGGAGTAATTACGAGAATTATTTTTAAACAGCATTTATTTTTTTACTCAATTACAGAAATAATTTATGCTCAATACAGAAAATTTAGGAAACATGGGAAACATATAAAGAGGTGCCCATATCCTGTCATGAAAGTGTAAGAACCAAATGACATAACATGTGTAAAGGGTCCAGCATTTATCAGGTACTCATTATACAGTAACTGCTGTTACAGTGCTGAGGGAGAATCAGCCCTTTTGCTCTGAGAACAAGGCATTTATAATTAGGGATAATGAAATGTCATGATCATTTTGTAGTTAATCAGCCTTTTAAAATGTGTATTTATGGGGAAGAATTCTTCCTTACCCCAGCATGAGAATGAGAAGGTGAAGAATCCTGAAGATTTGTGGGCATGTTTTGCAGGCTTCGGTATGAGTTCTTGTTAAAAAGCAGCAGGGAGAGCCCCACATGCACTGCCCTCCCTTGTCATTCACCCAGACTGGTAGAAAGAGCACCGGGAGGAAGTGTCTGCTCTCCTCAAGCCTTATGTATTTTCTTTCCCTCTACCATTGATCTGTTAGGATTATTTATAAATCTGATCACACAGATATTTTATTTAGGTACTTTCTTTGTGAATCACTTACACAATTATCATTTACCCTGGCATTGGCCTTAAACCACAGAGGATCTGGGTTCAAAGATGGCACTCCCCTGCTTATTCACCCCGACTGTTTAATGGCACCTTCCTATAGACTGCAGCCAGGGCATAGTGCTGTGTTCCTGGCTGCCTCCCCTTCCACATTATTAGCCAAACTTCAGCTTAGGCTCTGATTGAGGCAGACTGTAAAGCATCCCTGTGAGGGCTGGTGTCCCTAATCATGGGAGAGGAATACCAGGCAGTTCTAGTAAGGTGGAAAGAGAATAATGGAACAGGGAATTGGAGACACTAACAGCAAATACTGTAAACTTGGGCCTGTCCCATCCTTTTTCTAGGTCTCAGTCTCTTCATCAGTAGAATAAGGAAGTTGGACTAGTCAATCACTGAGATTCCTAGTTCCCTGGAATTGTGGGCAGCAGTCAGGCTCATGACTGAGCACTGCAGTGCTACGGATTGAGGCTTTGGGAAGATATGAGTGTTAGCCTGTTAATCATTCATTCAGTTGCACATACTTGTTTTATCACTTTTCTGTTTCTTACATTTCATAATTTTTTTAATGTAATTTTAAAAACACCAAAGGAAAATGGGCTTAGAGGAAGGAATCAAAAGACTAAGGGTGCATCTTGAAGGGAGACCCTGGGTTAAGGTTTAGACTGAAGAAAGAGAAGGGGCTTACCAGGAAAAGAGGCGGGGAAAACCTGTTAGGTAGGAGAGCCAAGAGAATAAAGAAGAGATTTCCCCAGAAGGAAGAGGAATGGATTGGTCATGCATGGAAGTCAAGGAATTTTGAAGTCTAGCTGGTTAGAGGTAGGACCCTCTGGATGGATTAAAAAAAAAAACATGAGTGCCCTTCAAAGGATACTTTATATAGAGCAGTCTGAGCAAAAGCTTGATTTAGAGATTAAAGAGGCTGTGAAGCAATGGAAGTAAAGGGTACAGACCTGTGGTTTACAATGGTTGGTAGGAAAAAACTTGAGAGAAAGAGGACGATAATTTGATGGGATGGAAGAGCGGCTAGTGGAGTGGTCAGCTGAACTGTGTTGTGAAGAGCAGTGAGAGTTGTGCCTATATAAAATTGCGCCTTCTGCTCACACAAAAATCTAGTAGAAAGAAAAGTGATAGTTGTTAGGACAGTGAAGTGGATACATCTTAGACTTTGGATGGAGCCTAGCTGCCTGGACTTAGTGACCTGTGACCTTGGTCAAGTTGCATAACCTCCTTATACCTCAGTTTACCAGCCTATAGAATGAGGATGACAGTACTGAACCTTATAGAGGTGTCGTGAGGTCACAGATGTAAAGCATCTTGCAGCGGTGCTGGTATGTGCTAGATGAAAGGGTGGGTGATAGTAATGGTATGATTAGGGACAGTAGGACCCAGAATTCAGGTGGGAGGGGCGCTCTGTAGGGTTTTCATTCTAACATTGTTAGGAAAAACCCTAGGAGCCAGTTATTCCCAGTAGAAACCTAGATGCAGTAATAATCATTGAGTAAGAAAGAATATTGGGTCCAGGACTTATGCCGCATTCTGATTATTTCCCTCCAAAAAAATAGGAAACACTGCTTCTTTAGTGACTGTGGATGCCCAGGTCAGCAGAGGTCTCGGTTTTCAGTGCAGACCCTGAAGCACCCACCACTTTCTGGTACTTTTTAAATTTGTGCTGTGGTTTATCCTACAGATTAGTCAAAAGAAGTTGAAAAAATATGAAAAAGAGTATCACACCATGAGAGAACAGCAGGCCCAACAAGAAGACCCCATCGAGCGATTTGAGGTTCGTTTGCATAAGGCCTCGGTGATGTGAAGAGCTTTCAGCTCTTCGTGTCATATAATTGTGCCTGTAGCTAGCTTTATTAAGTTCTTTTTAATTCAGTTCCACTGTTTCTAGATTCAAGTTTAATGTGAGTTTGTGAATGAGAAAGCAGGATTTGTTTTGCATCAGATCACTGCCACCCGTTTAGTGGCCTTTTGTTACAGTTAATAAGAAGTAGCTCCCTGACAAGGTCACTTGAATCAGTTTAGTATTTCTCTGCGGAGACAGGAAATAAGAAATTGTTGATTGGTAGCATATAAGACCAACAATGGTCTCCGATAATTTCCATAGGACTCAGAAATTAGTATTGGACGTTATTCCTCAGAAATTGTCATTTCCATAAGATTTTTGTGTCTGTAACTGGTTTCTCTCTACCTATCCTTCAGCGGGAGAATAGACGTCTGCAAGAGGCTAACATGAGGCTGGAACAGGAAAATGATGACTTAGCCCACGAGCTCGTTACCAGCAAGATTGCACTGCGAAAGGACCTGGATAATGTAAGTCGGACTCGTCTGAAGGGATAGGTTATACTGAGACATTTGACGTCAGCCTTAATCAGTGAAGTCTTTGAATTTTAGTGTTCATTATTCTAGTTACTGAAGAGTTTCCCTCTTACAGTATACCTTGCTCTTGTCAGGATTACTTGCCCTCTTCTTTCAGCTTTACTATCTCATTAAGGCCTCCTTACCATGTTTTTTTCTAATTAAACACACAGTCCTTAAACTCCTGTCCAGACATTTGTTGAGAGACCTTTTGGCTAATCTTCTGCTGTCATAATTGGCACAGGCATTTAATCATTATAATTTCCTTACCTCCCCCAAAGACAAGAGATTGTGTTGTTCTCCACATTATGTACCTGTTGAGTCAGCATTGCCGGTTGTAATAAAGCCCGGCCTCAGCAGCTTATGATTTTAGCCATAATTTTTGTTGGCAGGTGTTCTGTTTTTCTTTGCTTCTCCAAATCTTAAGAAGTTTGAGATGTCTTACTACACTGATAGACAGTGACGGCAGTGGAGGGGGAGGGGGAGGACTTGATAATATGGGTGAATATTGAAAGCACAAGGTTGTTCATGTGAAACCTTCATAAGAGTGTGTATCAGTGATATTTTAATTTAAAAAAAGTTTGAGATGATGGCTTTCCTGGCAGAGTGTTTGTCCATTTTCTGTGCTACAAGCTTCCCTTAGAAGTATAGTCTGTTGTTCATGGTTTAGGTCAGAGGTTGGCAAATTTTTTTTTGTAAAGGGATAGATAGTAAATATTTCAGGCTTTATGAACCATATAGTCACTTATGCAGCTATTTAACTCTACCATTGGTGTAGACGTAGCCGCAGACAATAAGTAATGGAATGAGCATGGCTATGTTCCAATAAAAATTATTCACAAGAATAGGTGGCAGGCTGGATTAGGGCATGGACTGTAGTTTGCCAGCACTTGACTTAGATGTTCCTGTCAGCTTCCCAAGGTTGCTTTTCTGGTCATTGGTTTCCTGAAGTTCTAGAGATAGGCTAGGCTGTTCAGAGTTTACAGAGGACTTACATGATATATTGAACCCCTCACAAGGTCCTTGACATCTACCAGTTGTGTATGAAAATATTGTGTACTACTGTATTTCTTTGAAAATCTGTGCTTTTGTTCAGTTACTGAAGTGGTTCACATGTCAGACAGAGAGATGGCAGTATCTAGTGGTTCTTACTACTTCTCTTTAGAAGTAGAATAGTGGGGTAAAAAATTTTGAACAGACCTGAATTCTATACCAGCTACTCTACCTTTGATTAAAATATGGGGATGTAGAATAATAGCTGTTGAGAATTACTGATTTGAATTACATGATGTGGTGTATATGGAAGGACCACCAAAAAAGAAATCCAGCATCAGCAGTGTTAGTTCCCCCTGCTTGTACCAATGTAGGCTACAAATAGCCACACGTAACCAGGAAGGCTCCTCTTCTCAGTTTTTGCAGGGAGGGTGTTTCAAGGTCATTAGCCCTCAGTAACCAGAACTTGGAGGTCTCACTGCTTTTTGGTTTCCTACAGTCCTGCTCATCAGGTTTAGGTTTCCTCCCTACGGCCCAGATTCCCTGCACAACCTCTGTTGTCCTTTATGGAAATTATTCTGACACTGTTGAAGTATTTCTGCCAAGTGTGTGTAGGGAAGTGGGGGTACACTAGCAGGAACTATGGAGGCAGGGCCACAGGGTACCCCTGAGATACACGTGAATGTCTCACAGCAGCTGTAGGTGCTGCAGAAAGGCATTGAAAAAGTAAAAGGAAAGAAAATGGGTCGTGACAGGTAATTGATGTTCTACAAAGAAATTATGGTAGGAGGCAACTGAAGCTGAAATTCCAGTGGATTTTTAGTTTAAGTCGTTCCATTCTCCAGTCTGATGGCCTGGTAATGACCTTGATAGCTCATTCAACAGTAGGCTAAGGTGGATGATAGACTTCTTGAAGGCTTCTATATATAGTCTTGAAGCCTGCCCCCGAACAGTGTAAACCTTTTTTTCAATTCGTCTTACACCGATCAAATAGCTAGGTTCTATTCCTGATATCAGACGTAAGAGACAGTAAAAGATAATATGAATTCCCACTTACTTGTGATCAGTGTGACCAGCCCTATGACAAGTGCTTTGCTGAGCTCTAATATCTCTTATCCTTATCTCAGCCTTGTAAGAATAGTGATCTGAGCCCCTTTAATGGATGAGGATATTTTCGCAATCATGAAATTTGAGACTCAGGGGGTTTCAAGTACCTAGGAAGAAACAGAGCCAGAAATCTAACCATGTTGGAAATGCCATGCTGTCTCCAGAATAAATATGGAACAAGAAGCTAAGATTTGATGTCATAACTACATCAAAACCTGAGTTGAGGAGGACCAGTGAGACTGATGTGTAACAGTGAAAGTTTCTTGAGCGCTTGTTTCTGGCCCCTGCCCCAGGTGCTCTGTGTATAGTAGCTCATCACATCCTCAAACAACTCATATTGTATAAGGTGCACCACTTGTGGTCCCCATTGAGGCAAGAAAGTGAAATGTCTCCTGGGTCAGTGTTGGTCTGTGGCAGAGCCTTCAGATTGAAACCCAGATGGCTGACACCAAGCTCGCTCTGCTGACTTGGGTCAGGGTCCCTGCTGCCTTTAGAGCTCAGGCACCGCCAGGCAGGCCCTGTCCCCCGGGCATTTACATGTCCGGAAGATGGCCCTTCCCATGCCAGACTCAGAGTCCCTTTCCCAGTTAGTCTTCTATTTCTTCTGGATCATCACTGAAAATCACCTAGGTTCTGAAGAAGGCTTAAAGGTCCTCTCACCCTTCTTTACTTCAGGGGCACAGGTTTTTGAAAGAACTTCATTCCTTTCAGCTCTTCCCCTCTGCACCCCAGAGAAAAGCTCTGGTTTGTGACTTAACAGGATTTCCAGAACCTTCCATTGATTTTACCTCACTGTCATTCCTCACCTGTTACTTTTCTTACTCATTCCACAGCAGCTGTAGAGAAATTCTATCAGCCACTGAGTCCCTTGGTGACCCCAATCATGCGTTCTCCTCTTACGAAACAGGAGAAATGCCCTGACACAGTGCTGAAGGCTGAGAGGGAACCTGTGCAAGGGACCTGGCACAGGGCTGACAGCACCGTATCTGAGTCCCCTCTGGCATGGCTGCTGTCCACACTTAGACAGAGTGATAGGAGGAGGGTAAAAGGCACAGACTCTGGAGCCCTGCTGCTGGGGTTTGAGGTGATCCCCTCCCTTACCAGTTCTGTGACCTTGAGCAGGTTCCCGCTGAATTACTTTAGCCTTGTTAATCAAAAATCAGTTGACCCTATATATATGTATATGGGTCTCCTCAACTCTGATCTATAGGTCTGTCCTTATGCCAGTACTATACTGTCTTGATCACTGTAGCTTTACAGTTTTAAAATACCAGGTCATGTGCATCCTCTAACCTTGCTGTTCTTTTTAAAAAATAGTTTGGCTATTCTAAGTCATTTGCATTTCTGTGTAAGTACTAGAATTGGTTTGCCACCTTCTAAAATAAAGGCCTTCTGGGATTTGAGTGGGATTGCATTGAATCTATAAATCAACTTGGGAAGAATTAACATCTGAACAATAATTGAACATTCTAATCCATGAATATGTTACAATTTTCATTTATTTAGGCCTTTCAGTTTCAGCATTGTTCTTAAGTTTTCAGTTAACAAGATTTCCACATATTTTAATCTATTATAAAAGGTTTTTTTTTCTCAATTGCTTTTTCCAGATTTTGCTAGTCTCTGGAAATACAGTTGATTACATGACCCTTTATCCTGTGACCTTGCTAAATTCACTTAGGATTCTAGTAGCTTTTTTTGCTTATTTTTTAGGATTTTCTACATATTATCTCCAAATAGAGTTTTATTCCCTTTCAAGCCCTTGTGTGTTTTTTCCCTTTGCCTTCCTGCGTGGACTCGGGCCTTTAGAACAGTGTTGAATGCTGAGAGGACCTCACTGCCTGTTCCAGATGTTACCTGTAGATCTTTCATAGGTCTTTCTTCCCATTTGCTGAGAGTTGTTGTCATGAATGGGTGTTGAATTTTGTCAGATACTTTTCTTGTATCTGTTAAGGGGATTATTTGCTATTTCTATATGGTGAAGTGAACTGATTTTTCAATGTAAACCAACAATGGGGTTTCCATTTTTTATTAAAGATTTTTATTTGTGTTCATAAGGAAGATTTTTCTGGAGTTTACTGTTTTTTGTTTTGATGTTGGGGCCTTCTTAAGGAATTTGTGTAGGATTGTTCCTTGATTAAACCTTTTATTTAAATGCCTTAGTGAAGCCACGTGGGCCTGGGATTTTCCTAGCAGGAAATCAGTTGATTTTGAATTCAGTTTCTTTCCAGATTTGGCACTATTCAGACTTTAAAATTATCCATATATATAATATGTGTTTTTCAAGTAAGTTATCCATTTCACTTCAGTTGTCTAATGTATCGGCATATATAGTTACTGATATTTTCTTAATCTTTCGATGTTTATAGGCCCTGTTGAGATGTCCTTTTCATTCCTGCTCTGGGTCATTTGTGTCTTTTCTATCCTTAATCAGTTCCAGTTGTATTGATCTCTTTAAAACTCAGCTTTTGATTTCATTTTTTTCCCTCTGTTTTGTTTCATTGATTTCTGCTTGGTATTTCCTTCTGATTTTCCTTCAGTTTAATTTACTCTTTTGCTAGCTTTTTAAAGGGGAAGCTTGATCACTGACTTCAAACTTTTCTTCTTTTCTAAAATAAACATTTAAAGTTAAAAATCTCTATGAAGCTCTATTTCAACTTCATTCCACACATTTAGACATGGTGTGTTTTATTTTCACTCAGTTCTTGTGATTTCTTCTTTAACCTGTAAATTAATTAGTAGTGTTTTGTTTAATTTTCAGCTGTTAGGGATTTTTCCTAGTAATTTTTCTATTGTTGATTTCTAATTTAATTCAGTTGTGATCAGAATGCATATCCTTTCTGATTTTAATCTTTCGAAAATATGTTTATGCTTAATTTAGGATCTACCATATGGTATATTTGGGTGGGTGTCCCCCACACACTTGGAAAAGCATACGTGTTCTGTTTTGTGGTGGAAGTGTTCTGTAAATGTCAGTTCAGGCAGGTTGGTTGTTGTTCGAGTCTTAGACTTCTGGTGTTTTCTGTCGACTTGGTCTGTCATTTACTGAGAGAGCAGCGAGGGCATCTCTGACTCTAATCGTTTATTTCATCTGTTTTTTCTTTTGCTTATGTTATTTTTTGCTTCCTGTAATTTGAATTTATGCATGCATTTCAGATTATTACACATTCTTAATTGAGCTTATGAAGTGTCCTAAGTTGTTCAGAAATGTGCTCTGTCTGGTATTTATACTGGCCCTGCAGCTTTCATGGTACTGTTGGGAGTATATCCTTTCCATCCTTTTACTTGTAAGGTGTCTGAGTCATTGCACCTAAAATGGATATCTGTTTAACTGGTACAGATTTAGGTCTTGCTTTTTTCATTCAGTTGGATAATATCCTTTTAATTGGCATGTTTAGACCAGTTAAATTTAATGTAATTATTTATATGGTGGATTTAAGTCTACCACCTTGCTGTCTGTTCTCTATCAGTTGTATTTGTTTTTTCTGTCTTTCCTTTCTTCTTTGGTTTAATTGGGTATTTTCATGATTTCATTTTATCTCTGTTGCCTTAATAGCTATTCTGGAACTCTCCTCTCCTGAGCTCTGCCCCCACAGCTTCCAGCCACCTCAGCATCTCTGACCCTCTAACTCCACCCCCTTGGCTCTTTGAGGTGGGCTTTGTTTGGAACCCTTCACCCTGTTCCTTGGTCCAGAATGTACCTCTGTGCAGAGACCTAGGGTGGCAGACTCTCCTTGTTTGTTTTCTTCCTCCCAGGAATCACGGTTCTTGTTTATTTTCAGTGTCCAAAAACAGTAGTTCACATTTTCTGTTCAGTTTTTTTTCCACAGTGAAAGGGTCTTGAGACGGAAGACTCAGTTCATGGCCTGACTGTCCTGTACATCTTAGAATCAGTCCTAGTATCGATCATCACTACGTAGTATGACGCAGAGCTGAGAGAACATAAGTATGTGCTGTAAGCACCAAAGTCCTGCTCAGAAGTTCTTACTGAGTCCAAGGGAGAGAAGAGAGAAGCAATAGTTGTTCAACTGACTAAAATAAAACAAAACCTTGAACAGGACTTTGCTCTCCTTGCGAGTCATTAACTCTGCCTGTGGGGTCTGAGCTAGAGGAGGAGGAGATAAGCCACTCCTCCTGAAAGGACAGGCCTTAAGTCTACGACCCCATCTGATTGCCTGTATGTGTAGTTCACAGGAATTAACAACCTTCTGAGTTTGCTTGTCCTACTGTTCTTAGGTCTCCAGTTGAGGCCCCAGTCCTCTGGAACCGTTTCTCCCATGAGAGAGACCGTCAGAGGAAATGTGGTGCAGCAGAAAGCACTTCAGTGAGGTGACATCAGGAATGCTGTTGAATTGCAGGGAAGCCACCATCCATATGTAAGGAGGGGACAGAGACCTTAATGTGTGGTGCTCTGTAACCAAGAGCTTCCACCCCATTTCTCTGCCCATCTTCTGACATGCTGTAGTCACTAAATCTTCAGCTGTCCTTGGAGTGTTCAGTGTCAGGGACTTTTTATCAGGCACAGGGGTATCATTGTCACTTAACCACCAGACCTTTGCATGCTTTAAAAAAAGCTGGGCTGGAGGATAGCTATTTTGGATAATAAACAGAGAGTGCCCGGAGAGGGGTGGTCTTCTCTGTCAGATGGCGAGGGCAAAATGTAGAACTTGATTAGTGAAGCAGAGGACATATGAGAGTTTGGAGGAAGAAAACCAGAGTTTATTATTACTCTTAATGATAATGACAGCTACCATTCCTTGAGTGGTTGCTGTCTTGTAGACACTGTGCTGAGTCCTCTCCAGACCTCACCCCTCAGAGGAAAAGCCTGAATCTCAGAGAGGTTCTCCGCGACCTGTCCAAGTGGCACAGGGTTAGGGAGTGATGGGCACTACCAGGCTGTCTGATGCCAGAGGTCGAGCTCCTGACCACTGCCCTGCACTGACTCTGTAGGAGAGGCTGGGCCTGGCACTTCTGAAGGAGTCCAGTCTTGCAGTGACTGTGGGCGGACCCTTTTCCCTCTCTGTAGCATCTTAAAATGGTATTCTGGTGGGTAATTTAAATCCCTTCCAATTCTCAATTCTTCCTCTGTTACAGCATCTCTTAAATTTTATAGGCAGAGGAAAAGGCAGATGCACTGAATAAGGAGCTGCTTATGACCAAACAGAAGTTGATTGATGCAGAGGAAGAGAAAAGACGGCTGGAAGAAGAGTCTGCTCAGGTGAGGGGCGCTCCCCTCCCGCACGCCCCCCGTGTCTCACGCATGGCAGTCGGGAGCTTCGCCGCGGCTTCCCGTGGGTGCCAGAGGACACAAGGGACAGCTCCCCTCAGCTTCTCTCCAGAGGCCTTTCTCATTTGCTGGGTAAAGCATAATGGCTCTTAACAGTTAAAGCGTAGGAGTAGGCAGTGGGGTAAAGCCCATCCTTTCTTGGGGCAGGAGGAATGTGTCAGTAATCTGAGGGCGACCAGCAAGAGGGTCAGCCTTTCTACAGAAGAAGACATCACGTGGTGTCTGGCCCTTCCCCGACCTGTCCGCTGACATCTCCCCCAGAGTGCCGACTCTTGAAGGCTTGTCCTGAGCCCGCTCTCCAGTCACCAGGTCACAGACCTGCAGCCACTGGATAGCTTTGGGCGCTGTGCTCCCTGGGGCAGCCCCTGCATCCCCATGGATCTCCTCCATCTGGTAACACTCTAGTCTCAGGCAGGACACCGGAGGCAAACAGTGATGGGCACTGTCCCTGGGAGGTACTGAAGAAGCAGCAGCCTCTGACTAGCTCTGCGGCCTGTGGTGTGTGCAGCCTCCTCAGCTCAGGTGCACAGGATGGGTTGCACTGGCAGGGGAGAACTTGAGCCAAAGCTTAGTCTGAGGTGGGGTTTGCTCTTTTTGGAAGTTCTGATGTCCTTCCTCTCCTGGCATCAGGAACAGGGTTAGTACTGCCAAGAGTGATGGAAGAAGGGAGGTGAACTAGAGACCTTCCAGAGTTGGGTCAAGCACTTCCTGGAAAGCCCAGCACTAAGCAGCTGGTGCCAGAGTTTCCTTTATATTTCCCTTAAAACGTTGACTTTGCTCTTTTCAATGTGCAGTTAAAAGAAATGTGTCGACGGGAACTCGACAAGGCAGAATCTGAGATTAGAAAAAACAGTTCTATCATCGGTGACTACAAGCAGGTGGGTCCGGGCACCCCGGAATTGAGCCATGCGCTCTGGAAGCCCTGCTTGCCTGGGTGAAGTGTATCCCCTCCGCCATGTGCTTCCCAGCTCTGCAACTTTCACTGCCAAGTTACCTTACTGAACTGGACAAACTACCCCACTGATTCTCAGCTGTCAAGTAGTGGCCATAACCACTATCTTGTGGAACTGTTGTAAGGATTCCATGAGATGGTGTTTGTTGTAGATCATGCCCAGCATATAAATAGGCACTTAATGAGTGAGAGCCACACTGTTCTTGGGAGCATCTCAGATTCAGAATTACGGGCTTATGTTCACATATGGTCCTAAGGTGTAGGCCCAGTTCTCTGACCTGGCTGGTAAGTTTTAAAAACATAACTGATTGGTCTGGGATCTCGTGCAGACTATGGCAGGTGTTTGCAACCCATGGGCCAGTGGGTGTGGCCCTGGCAGGTTCCTGCACACCCTAGGCTGATGGATGTAGAGATAGCCAGAGGAGCCTCTGCTTGTGTGTCGCCTTCCGCCTTCCCCCTGACCCCAAGGTAGCAGCCTGCTCAGTGCTGTCTGACTCACAGTCCAGCTTCCACACAGAATTCATCTCAAGGCCAAGTGATACATTGCACAAGAAGGTGTCATATCTGTTTATTTCCTTAGATTTGTTCTCAGTTGAGTGAAAGACTGGAGAAGCAGCAGACAGCTAATAAAGTGGAAATTGAGAAAATTCGGGTAAGTTTGCCTTCACCCAAGAGATTTATACCACATAGTTCATTTTACGGCTCTGCCCAGCACAACAGATTTTGCAAGGGGGTAGTTCACTTTGATTTCAAAAGAGAGAAGCTGACAAGTCCCTGATCAGGCCCCTGTCGTGGCCTGGCTCAGTAACCAACCACTGATACTGCGGCTGTTGGCTCTGGCAGGGAGTGCGGAGGAGACGCACAGGAGCTCTGGCAGTTAGATCCTCTTGCATCTCGATTTATGTAGCATCCTCCTCTGGATACCTGGTCAACAAAAAATACAAGTGCCCCCAAATTTCTGATTGGTGTCATTCAGCATCACACTGAGATGAAGGAGCCCTGCAAGTCATCGATTTTGCTTGAGGTCGGGGTGCAGAGGTCAGGACCACATGGTGTGATGTCACTGGCCATGGTCTGTAGAAAGGGGACACTAGCCCCTTAGATCAGTTCCTTCTACTATAACGGGTCCAAATACAGTGAGGACTTTAATTTTGAAATGTTTTATTGCCAATTTGGAAGCTTTTGTAACTTTCTTTAAGCTGTACCTATTTAGAGTACGTGACAAATTTTACTTATTTGCATAATTTACTGAAATTTGCTTTACTAACACAACTCAGTGGACAGCAATGCGGGAGAGGCCTCTTTTCATGTTTGCACAAAACAGCGTTTTACTTGGAGCAAGATTACACCTGGCCTCCATCATAAGAGTTTAACCAGCAGTGTCAAAGTTTTAATATAATTTATTTTCCATTCTAAACCTAATAATATGCATTGCAGAAAATTTGCAAAATATGAATAAGAAAAGAAAAACCCGTGTAATCTTGTTACATACCAGTGTATCACCATTGTTAACACTTGGGTGTATATTCTTTCAGTCTTTATTCTGTTTACTTTAACATACAAAATTTCATTCATTCTAAGATACAAATATTTTTCATGTTTATATCTCTGAAACTGGAACATGTTTTATGACTGATGGCTTTCTGTTTAAAACTGGCAAAATCTTCTCTTCGAGGAACATTAAATGATAACTCTTACTGTCAGTGGCATCTTGATGAGATAAAGTGTATATCTGTACCCATGCTATAAATACATTATTATGTCCTTGTTCACCCAGCATTTAACCATTGTACAATGTTATGAAAAATTCCTCAAAAACACCTAAGAGGCTGCACACTTCCCTCTGTAAGTGCAGCACAGTATGTTTAATCTCTCCCAGTTATTGGATAGTTTATCCCCCTCTTTTTTCTGTCTCTGATTTTGCAATGAATACTCCTTGTATAAATTTTTATTCACTGCTGCTGCTGCAATTTTTTAGGCAAGATTCCTAGAAGTGAGACTTTTGGATCAAGACAATAGAATATTTTTACTGCTTTTGATATATACTACAGGTGGCTTTTCTAATAGGCTCTCTGTGAGTTTACAAAGAGGGCATGGTTTCTCAGAAGGCTGTAGTGCTCAGCCAAGATGCCATCTCTCATCTCCCCAAAAAGGAGATGCTCACACCTTCCTAAAGGGCCAGTTTCTCTTTGCTTCTTCACACCTGACATTCAATTTCAGCAAAAAGTGGATGACTGTGAACGCTGCCGGGAATTGTTCAACAAAGAGGGGCGTGTGAAGGGCACCAGCTCAGCTAAGGAGGTTTTAGATGAGGACACGGATGAAGAGAAGGAGACACTCAAGAACCAGTTGAGAGAGATGGAACTAGAACTGGCACAGACCAAGTTGCAGTTGGTGGAAGCTGAGTGTAAGATACAGGTAATAGCCACAGCCCCTGGGCCCCCAGTCCTGGGCCCCGACCCCAGTGGACACAGCGCTACCTCAGCTCTGGGTGCAGTGGGACTCAGACCCACGTGCAGGCTTGACTGTCTGGTGTGGGCTGGAAACCCCCGAAATGATGTTTAAGGGCTTGGGCTTTTTTCCCCTCATAGACATTGGCCATAATCTCCATGAGAAAAAGCCTGTTACTTGTTATTTACCAGCAGGATGTTTAATTAGTATTCATCTTGTCCTAAGGACTGGACTTTATCACACTGACAGTTACCCATCAAGCTTGGAATCCTTTTGGTGGAGTAGAAAGCACAGGCTTTGAAATCACAGCTGCAGCCCCAGCTCCAGCTCCTTGACCTGGGGTGGTCGGTAACGCCTTACCCTTCAGATTCTTCATCTGCAAACAGAGGTGATGAGGGTCCCTATCTGATGGTCCCCTTCAAGGATCAAACAAGATAATGCATGGAACGGGCTCAGCACAGTGTCTGAGGGCTTCATAAATTCACACTTTTTGTCCCAACTCCCATCACCTAACTAGCTTTGTGACATTAGACATGTTACCTAATTTAAGCCTCCATTCCTGATGAAGAAACTGGAGCTGGTGATGACAGCTTTATACTGCACGGCTAGTCCCACCAGCACCCGCACTGAGTGCAAGGGAGGCTCGGCACTGCTTGTGGAAGGAGCCACGGTCAGGACTAAGACTTAGCCCTGGTCTCCCACACCTCACACATGCGCTGGACTCTTTGCCAGGCCCTGTTGTAGTGTTGAGGTAACAAAGCTAAGACAGGGCTTGTGTGACGATCTAGGACAGTCAGGAAATGCATCACCATGGCACCTGTGGTCAAAAAATGAACACAGATTGCAGCTAGAGAGAAAGAACAGTGAGCATCCTGATGAAGGGAGCAGCATGTTCAGCCACACGCAGGGAGGTGGCCCGCCCAGTGAGGAGCTTCAGGAAGTAGGGGTGGAGGTGGGCGCCGAGCTGGAAGAGTCTGTGGCCCAGATTGTGAAGCACCTCAGATGCCTTGCTAGTGTGTCTAGGCTTTGAAGGTTCTTGCTGGAAATTAATGGTGCAGCTAGAGCTTTGGCTCTGTCTGCCTGGTGTGCAGTGGGGGGACGGGAGGGAGACATTCAGTTAAGAGGCTGTCTTAATAAGCAGACTAGGCAAGGAAAGACGAGGCCTTAACTTGGAGAGATCCCAGAGCTTTAGCAATTCCAGGTCTTTCTGTGCCATCTGAGACTGGACGGTTTTCCAGAGGCCAGTCGGAATAAATAGGCTGAATTCTCATCTTGGTCAGCTCTGTGCAGATGGTGTCATTGTTACGAGCCCAGCATCCTGATGTACGTTGTTCCTCCTACAGGACTTGGAGCACCATTTAGGCCTTGCCCTAAACGAGGTACAGGCAGCCAAGAAGACGTGGTTTAACCGAACACTGAGCTCCATAAAGACAGCAACTGGGGTTCAAGGGAAAGAGACTTGCTGAGAGCAGCTCCTGCCTCCAGACACCTTCAGAAAACATGACACCTTTTGTTGCCTTCTTTGGCCAGATGTGTGATTCTGTGACAAGTTCCAGGACCAGAACGTACCCAAGTCAGATCCATAGAAGCATGTTGGTAGGTTACTGGACTAGAGCTCACGAACAGGCAGCCTTTGGGGTAAGGCTCTCCTAACTACTGATACTAACAGGCCTGCTAGCTCGACTTGTGCTCTGGACACATTCTGGAAAACCACTTCTCCATGTCGGTGTGACCTTCCAGGCCTCTTCCAAGGGTAGGCAAGCTGGTCACCCAGCCCAAAGGCTGATACATGGTCAGAGTTTGGGGATCCTTCAGGCTGTTGGTTTTTTTCTAAAACTCTAATCTTTTTTTTTTAATATACATACTATATATATATTGGGTGGGGGGGGGAAGGGTGGGAATCAGTAACTCAAATAATTCTTATCTACTTCAGTGCCAGCAGAGGGTCCTCCAGGTAGACGTGGAGAAGCACTTTGTTTTAAATAGGAGGGTTTCATGGTTGTAGTTGAAGCCACCTTGTTTTGTTAAACTGTATGATGCACGGGTTTTGGGTTTGGCGTTATTTACATGTTCCTGATCAATTCTATGCAACTCTCATAGTTCCTGTTGTTTTTCAGCGTTTGCTGCCAAAATGACATCTTAGCTGACTTCACCAACTATGAGACTGAATTAATCCTAATGTGGACAAATCTTATTTTGCTCAATGTGTCGTGTGTGTGTGTGTGTGTGTGTGTGTGTGTGTCAGTGTCAGTACACCCAGTTGACAGTGTTTATATCCCAGGCTACGGCTGATCTGCACAACTTACTTATGTAGTTCTTTGGACACAGTTTCTCTCACGGGTTCTTGGACTCTGCTCTCCTCCCTGCCCTTACGAAAGCTGTGAAGAGCTCCCTTGCTTCAAGGTTCCTAGTGTTTTTGCACAATAGGACATCCAAGTGAGAACACATTGAGCTGGGTGTTTACATAAATGGGAGTATGTTCAGGACGCACACACCGACTGGCCCGGGTCTCCCAAAGCAGCAGTGTAGACCTTGCTGTTGAGATGGGCTGCAGGTTCCCACTTAAAACATCGAAATGGAGGTATTAGTACCTTCATAAAAATTAAAAAAAAAAAAACCTTAAGACTTTGAATTGATACGGTGATTGGCAGACAGGCCGTCCCACAGATGATTCCACCATCTCTTGCGTGCAGTGTGAGGGTAGCTCTTCCAAGAGGCACTGGTTTGTATATAAGGACACGGGTGACTTTGTATCTCTTCCTGTCAGCTGTCCTAACGCTTGCTGAGGTTGTCTATGATGAGGGTGGTGGCAAGCAGCGACCCGCTGCCCCCAGACCATCCCCTCCGCTGCTTTGTGTCTGTCTTGTTCAAGTCCATCAGAACTGGGTGCGTGGACATTGTGCTAGGGTAGTTTCAGTGTGTCAACTTTATGAACTGAAATATAAACCAGTAAAATTGTATTACTATTTCTTTTGTTGGTTTTATTTTAACAGCATATTCATTAAATATTTTGGTACAAACAGCACTGCTTTGTAAAAACCGGCTTTATCATTATGTGACCTGCCACCACAGGCAGTCAGGGAAGACCGCACTCTGCCATCCAGCAGGTGTGTGTGTTACAGGCCACCTTGCCCTCCATCCAGACACGTCAGAGCAGCCTGGGTGCGCCAGGCCGTGGCGTCAAAGGCACGGGGTCTGTGCTCCGGGAGGCTGGTCCTGGGCCTTCGCCGGGAATACTGCACCTCTGAGAAGGGCTGAGAGAGCCTGCGAGGTGCTGTGCGTAGGTGAGGGCAGGAGCTCAGGATGTAGGGAGAACGTGCCAGACGAAGCAGCTCCCCAGGCAGAAATGGGAGAGGGAACTTCAGGCCCAATATGTGAATGGGAAGAAGAAACAGCCAAGAACAGAAAGGCAGCCAGAGCACCTGGGGTCGTTATGCTCTGCTAAAACTCCCAGAACAGTGGTGGCCTGGACAGGCACATATTTTAGAAAACTCCCAGCCCCTCTGCCGCCATGCTTCACCACCTCACCTTGCCTTCTCCACAGCAGGAAGAGGAGCTGTGCTTCCCCAGCCCTCTGGGACCCCCACCCCCACACACAGCCTTTGAGTGGAAGCGGGGCCTGGATGCAGGCTTCCCGGGAAGGTGGTAGTGAGTCGCCCTGCCCTGTCTTCTCTCCTCTGCACTGAAGCTGGGCAGGTGCCTAAGTAAGGGGCCGGCGCCATAGCAGGCGCTCTGCAGAAGCCAGCACAGGGGCTCCAGGGCACACTTGGGATCCCTTTACTGTTCACAGGCTGGAGCACTTATTCCTGGGCAACCAGGACAAGATTCCAACAGGGTCAGCCTGCTCTAACCTTTTCCAGTCCCGAGGGTCCTGGTGCTTAGGAGGGTAGGGGCTCAACAGAAATCTTGCCCCCCCACCCCCTGCAGCTGTGCCCTGGCCCAGGAGAAGGAGTGTGTTTATCAGTCACCCTTGGCACATGGGCCTAAAGTAACTCAGGTGGGGTCCCGCCCTTGGGGAGATTCCCTCGTCCCTCGAGACAGATTGAAAATAGTAATTGCAACACAGCGCCAAGTGTGGTAATAGGTATGTGGGATCCTGGGGAACAGGGAGTCCATATGGAATTGCAGGGGATACGGAGTTTTTTGCACTGACAGCTAGGGGGGCTCTCCTAGTTAAGAAGCCAGGTCAGCGTTCAGATGGAAGAAATGGTGGATAGCACTGTAGGCTGATGGGGCCGAGCGATGGGAGGTGACACTGGATAGTCAGATCCAGGCCAAGGAGCTTGAGGGGTGGGGGAGCTACTGGGCAGTTTTAAGCCAACTTGATTAAAAAAGCTTTGGGAAGTTTCCTGTCTTGCCCTTTAAGAAGAAAGGATGGGAGGAAGAGAAATTTAGAGTGACGAGAGGTGACAGAATGGGGAGGGCCAGATTTGAGAAAATTCCTGTATGGTCAGTGAAACTTGTCAAGGGAAAGATACATTAGGAAGATGAATTCAGCTTTCAGCGTGCGGATCTGAGATGGGCTAGGGGAAGTACCAGTTGGAGGTGTCCACTGTGTAGGAGTTGTGGGGGTGTCTCCACCATAGGATTTCTGAGCTCCAACACTTGGTAGTCCTGTGTTGGGACACTGTCCTGCACAGTGTAGCCATGCAGCCACATCCCTGGTCTCCACGTACTCGATACCACCACCATCTTCATCACACCCGAAATGTCTCCAAATATTCCCTGGGGGCAAAATCACACCTGGTGGAGAACCCCTGCTCTAGCATGTAAGCTAAAGCTAGGAGAGTGGATAAGCCTGTCCAGAGATGAAGGGCCAGATGGGAGGCCATTCAAGTGGGGAGAGAGTGGACATGGAGCAGGCTGTGAGGCTCTAAACCTGCAGACAACAAGCAGGCCCCATCTTGGGCAGGACCAGAAGAGGCTCAGTGGATTTGGTTCTGGGAAGTTGCTGGTGCCTGGGGTGGACCCGGGAGATGGGGAGGTGCAGCAGAGAGGCCAGACTGCAGTGGGGTGAGAGGTTGGGAGGGGAGGAAGCATAGAAAGATTTTTAAGCCTTGCTGTGAAGGGAAGTGGGAGAAAAAGGTGGGTGGGTGGAGGAAGTAACTGGTAGGAAGAACAAAGAGCCTGAGGCTTGTGCTGGAAAAGCAGACCCTGGTTCTAACCATGGCCACTTTAGATGGCCTAATTGGGGCTGCTCTCAAGGTCGAAAATACACAGGCTGCGTGGACCATGTGGCACCCTTTTGAACCTGAGCTGATTTCCAGTAACACTAGTAACTCTCAGGGGGGAGAAGGCACCTCCCAGAAGGTGTCTGCTCTGAATTCAAGTCCTAGTGGCAGGATGGAAAGAAAAATCCATGAGAGCTAAACATAAGCCCAGAACAGCACTCCCAGCTCTGAGCTGACCCAGCAGTTGTGACAACCAGTCTACATAGGGGCCCCTTGTGACCTGGGAGTCATTTGGCCTCTGCAAGCCTGTACCTTCATCTGACTGGTAGGGGTTTAAAGGATTATAGTACTTGTCCAGAGATTTGCCCAATTCTGACACTGGGGTTCAAATCTCCTAAGATTTATCTGGGGACAGTGAGCGATCAAGGGAGATGGCATAAAGATCAGGGGCATACAGAATGACTGAGGCACCCACACTCTCTACAGGAGGTCCCAGCACTAAGTTCTCTACTCTTCCCCCATCTTATAGGTGAAGAAATTGGGCCCATAGAGAGGTTCCTGCTCAGGCTACCCGGCTAGGACGTCACCCCACATCTGACGCCCCATGACCCTGTGGGCAGCAGGTGGGTATCATCTCAGCGCTCCACTACAAAGAGCACACCTGGGCATTTGGGGCCAGAACACTGGGTTCCAGGCTATGAGCTTGGATGCACGCCTCACTACAAAGTCACCTGACTTTTCCAAGTTTTCCTTGTCTGTGCAGTGGGGTCAGTACTTCCCTCAAGACTTCTGAGCTACTGTTAAGCTCTTGACGCGTCTCGTGGTGGTTTCTCTCCAGTTACTAGAACACCCGAATGAGATTTTTCCCAGGTTGGAAAGTACAGGTGAAAGCCTTGGCCCCATGATCGCAAGACCTTGGATTTCAACCAGGTACCTCCACCACCTCTTCTAGGGCCCGTCCAAGAGCAGTAGTGCTCCCTCCCTCTGCCCCCAGCTTCAGCTGAACAGGCTCTTCCCTGTGCCAGTCACAGGCAAACAAACCCAGGCAGGCCAGTGGGAGCAGTGGGTCAGCTCTTGCAGTCAGTACAAGAGTGGTGGTGAATCCAAAATGACAGTGTGCAGGGAGAAGATGGGCCCTGAGTTCCCAGTGAAACAAACACCTAGTGCCTTTGTCCACACACCGCTCCTCATAGCTGGAGGGCAGCACTGGGGTGGGCTGCAGCCTGTCCTGGCCCCTTTATCATCTCTGGAACCCTAGTGTCCTGATCTGGAATGTCTGGGTAATGCCCACCCTCCTCGCAAACAGATGTGAGGATAGTGAGGTCTGTGAAAGCACGTGGTACCTTCTGAGGTTTAGGATTCATCCCTTCACATGAAGGGCAGATGCTGTCCCATGTACTGAGCAGGAGAGTCAGTCATGAGGGCCAGGAAAGTGGCTCTGCACAGAGTAACTCAGCCCATTGTTGTTTAAGACAGAAGCTTTTATTTTTATTCATCCAAATGGGGGAAATGCAACATGTCAGGGCATTACAGGCCACAGCAGCCGGACAGGAGGATCAGTCTATGGCAGAGTCCAACACAGTGCGTAGGAGCCACAGTGTGGGTGCTGCCTGTGGAGTCAGGGTGGCAGAGAGTCCCTTTGGGTGAAGGCCAGGCTTCTCTGGGCGAGGCACTGGTGACAGTCCACATATGCAGGCTGCTGCTTCTACCACACCGAAGGTTCAACGGTCACAGTCCTACATGTTACCATTGCCCCAGAAAAGGAGGACAAGTCCGTGGTGGTGGTTTTCCAGTATTTTTGTTTAACATAATACACAACAGAGAGTTATTGCCAAGGACTTTGCACTGCAAATTATACTATTTACAATTGTGTATTCAGAAAAAAAAACAGTAAGTAGATACAGATATTTTAAGTAGATGTCTAAAAACTACCTTGGCCATCACCAGACCAGAGTGCGGGTAAGCTACAGCCAGGAGTCCACTGCCACGTGCACGACCATGCAGCAGGGAGAGGTTTCCACCCACGGCTATGCTCAGCCTTCTCCATGCTGCCTGTGCCTCCCTCCCCCCACCTGGGCCTGAGCAAGAGCCACCTGACCCCTTCACAAGGGAAGCCCCTCCAGGCAGGAACACTTCCTGGCAGGCAGACCCGGCCCCTCGTCAGCCCCTTCCCCAGCTCGCCCTGCCAAGAGCACCCTTGAGACCAGGCCCATCAGTCTCTGTTCCTGGAAGTGCCCTCCCCCTAGTGAGGGCTCCTTCAGGAGCTCTGTCTTAAGATGTGGCTGGGGCCCAAGCAGGCACTTACAGAGATCAACAGGCCAGCAGATGGGTCCCAGGTGAAAGGCCTGACTTCTAAGATACTTAGGGAAAAACAAGATAAACACTGCTAAGGGCTGAAGTATATGAAGTTTGCTCAAGTAAAATGGCTCAGGACTCACTAGAAGATGAGGGCCAAAGACCTGTGACCAAGTGTTCACTTTGCCTCAAGCCCTGGGGAGGGAGGCAGTCTGGAGGTTGGAGACAGCTCATCAGCCAGCCGAAGCCACCCTAGACTCCCGGGACACATAGTTAGGCCCCTAGTCAGGGGCCTTAGGGATGCCTGCAATTTGGCTCCCCTGTTTAGTTTCTGAAAATAAGCCTTCCTGTGTCCAGGAGAGGTGGTAGTGAGTGGTCATTGAGCCACCTCCCACTCAGCCATGGCAGGGCCCAGCACTGGCCAGCCACACTAAGTGACTGAGGGGAGGAGCAGCACACAGTGTCCCCCGCCATGAAAGGATGGTGCCGTGAGGTCCCTGCCTGACCGTACAGAGCGGGCCTTGGAGCAAGAGATGCTGTCACGGTCAGGGTCCGACAGCAGCACCTCTGGCATGTCAGGTGAGAAAAGAGGCTGTGGGAGTGAGGGTTTCCTGGCTAAACTCCCAGGTCCTACCTCGTGTGTGGGCTGCAGCCTGAGGGAGCCAGTGAGACACTGTACTGGAGGTCACAGAGGCCCCACTCTACGTCCCTGTGGCCAGAGCCGTGCTCTCAGGGAGAGGAGCAGGGCTGGCCCTGCAAAGGGGGAGAGCTGGACACTCAAGAGGGCAACTTTCTGAATTACAAGTCTCACCCTGTTGTCCCTGTCCTTCCTTCCTTTCTGTGAACATGGCTTCCTAGAACAGAAATGTTTGGGTTGGAGTCAAAAAAAGAACTTGGCCTAGGCAGGAAAATGAGGCAGAGGGCATGGGGCCTCTGGCCAGGGCAGTGACTGCCACACCTGCCTGGTGGAAGGCCCCTCTGGCTTCATGGCCAAGCCAGGCTCGCCTCTGTCCTTTCCCCTCCTGTGAGTCCAGAAACACCTATAGAGATCACAAGCCTATGGGTGTCTGAGAGCCCTCCCACAGCCCCGAGAGAGACAAGACCAGGCAGCAAGAGACAAGACCAACAACGGCGCCAGCGTGCCCCAGAGGCACAGGTCTCAGTGACTCTCCCTTCCGACACCTTCACTGGTTCTCACCTGGCAAAACAGCTTCCCTTGGCCCAGGTGGCACCAGTCCTTGGCTCTCAGCAATGGCCTGCTGCCTTGCCCAACCACTCAGGACAGCACCAGACGCCTTGCCTCCTGACTGGGACCCCAGAGGACTGGAGTGACACAGGCCCAATGGAAGCTGCTCTCTGCTGGAGGAGCCTGTGTGGAGCTTTGGGCACGTGCCTCCCTTCCCTGAGCTCCCACAGGCCTGTTGGGGGAGCTCAGTGAAGTGGCATCTGTGCAGGCGCTGGCCTCAGGTCTTTCTCCAGTCCCTCCTGTCACTGTACACGAAGTGCACATCGCCTCCCAGCTTTCATTTGCCGTAACTGTGTCAGGCCCTCACCAGTGTGCAGTAAACAACTCCCTTCACCCACCTCTGAATACAGGCTTTCAAGCACAGAGCACTGTCTATGTTTACAGGAATAGTGTAACTGCCTCACTTTTTCTTTTTCACCACCCCACTGAGCCCCTCGGGGCAGGTCCAGCCTGGAGTGCTGTCTGCTTCAGCCTGGCACACGTGCACATCTCGCCTCAGTAGTCCGCAGGCTTGACAGTGTATCATTTGCTCTGTGTGCTGGACACAGGCCTGGCCGCAGGTGCAAAGACCAAAAGCAACTGAAGACAGGTGGTGCTGTCTTACGTGATCTTTAGGATGACAAGACAGAAAAAGTCTGAAGCTCTATCATGTCAAAAACGTGTGGTGCTCACCAGCCCACTGAAGCCAGCGGCCAGAAAACCACCCAGCTCTAGGCCTCTCCCCCCACTCGGTTACCAACAATAACCAAACCCTTGGCTAAAAAGAGTCCAGGCTAACCTGAAAGATCCCATCTGTAACCACAGACCTGATTTTTCCCTTCTACATCCAGAGTGACATTTCCAAGATGTACTTGTTCCTTTCCCTCCTGAGCCCCGACATTCACACCATTCTCAGTGTCTGACAAGCTCACACGCATCTTCCCTGGAGCTGCCGCCTCAGGGCCCTCCTGACACCCCCAGTCCTCTTCTCCTCTGGGCCCTATGACCCTGGACTTCCCTGAGCCCTGCTGTGTGTTTTGTTCTCTGTCACTGTCCACCTCTCACCTAAAACCTCAGGTCTCTGTGGGCAAGGACTGCCCCTTCTTCATCCTCAGTACTCACAAAGCCTTTGGGAAGACAGGTCCGAGCAGCAGATGGAAGTTTCCAGTCATGATTAAGCCAGAGGGTGGTGAGTAATCTCTATAGTCTAAAGCAGGGGTTTGCAGAACATGACCCCATTTCCTGTGTGTTATGAGTAGAGTGTTGGACCGCACCAAACCTGTCTGCTCACGCATCGTCTCTGGTTGCCCCTGTGCTGTAGTGGTGGAGCGGCGGGGCTTTGACACAGCAAGGAGTCCAGAGTCTTGCTGACAACCTGGGCCTTTCCAGAAGTTCACCAACACCAGGTCTAAGACAGTGTTCTCATATATTTGCACACTGTGACACAAGAGGTGACATTTGTGTGGCCCACTAGGGTAAACAGAAAAGGCCATTTAGAGACACCTGACCTTAGGGCTCTGACCACCCAAAAGATTCATGAGATCAATGTCTGGTGTACCTGTGCAGAAACCCTCCCTGCCCACCTGTCCAGGATGAACCAGAGTTGGCAGGACTGACACACAAAACTGAGGCCCAAAGCAAATCCTTTAGGAATCTCACAATTTCTCATTTTTCCCTCGAAGTACTCTGTAAACAGGTCTGCACCTGCCCTCTGGCCAAGGCCGTGTTCTGCAGAATCCCATGAGTTCCAGCCCTTGCCCAGGTAAAGAAACGAACACATTCGTTTTTAAAAAGCAGTAGGCCTCTGCATGAGCATCTAGTACCTGTCACTCCTTTGACTGGCAAGCCCTACAGAGCAGAACCTTGGGGAGAGGAGATGATAAGGTACTGAGTAAGCAGCCTGCAAATCTTCCTATCACCTAAAGAGGTGAACCCAGAGGGTGCAAGATGGGGGCTCAGAACCTCACATCCATGAGACCTGGGCCAATAAGTTCCCATTTCCAAGCGCAAAGGAGAGGGCCCTTGCTGTGCTGCAGCTACTCTCCCCACCACTTCTCAGCATCTTCCTTCCCCAGGCCCCACGCCCCCTCATGAGTGCTGTGGCTCCAGGCCAGCTGCCATCAGGCCCACCTTCCCACTCAGTCCAGAGGAGCCTGGTCTATAAAAAGACACCATTCCTGCCTCTCCATCCCCGCTTTGCTGTCCCCCTCAGTCTCCATCACCAATCTGGGCATCCATAGCATGCAACCTCTACCACTTGCCCATGGCCCTTCCCCATTCAGCTGGCCAGGAAGATGGTACTCACTGAAGGGCATGTCACCAAGTGGCCCCAAACTATACATTCCATCTGCCTCCTCAGCCTCTTGAGCATACAGTCCCCATTAACAAGTGCCTGCCTGCCACCCTGAGGTCATGCCTCCTCTGCACACCACAGCACCCTTGGGAAGCCACCTCCAGTGTCCTGTCTAGTCTCAGCAGGAAGCCTTTGCCGCTGTGCCAGAGTCCTTCTAACCTTCTGTATGTCACTCTGCTCAGAGCAAGTCTGCCTGGTTTGTCTCCTGGACTGAATGGGAGGCCTGCCAGAGAGCCTGCCAGCCATAGAAGATGCCCTGGTTCTGTCTGAGCCCCCGAGCATCTCCCCCTGTCCCTGTGGAACCCACAGGGGTCAGTGCTTTCACCTACTCAGTTGCCTCAGCTGAAATCTTGACGTTTCTCCAGCTGTTCCTGCTCCGCCCCCCACACACAGCCTAGGGTAAACAGTACTGGGTGACCGTGAATGTTTCTCAATAAATCCCTGTGCCCAAGATGGGAGAAATGGTCATGGCCAGTAAAATCACTTCAGCATGCTGTCCAAACTGACAGCCCATGGAAGAATTTCCTCTGCACTAACTGGACAGCTGGCTTCTTGCTTAAACTTCCCTAGGCCCCACACCCCTGCATGGGCGCTGTGGCTCCAGGCCAACTGCCACTTCTCACCATGCCTCATCTCCCACAGAAACCTGGTCTGCTTCCTGGGAGGACACTTCAGCTTGAACTGCCCAGCTGGCTTCCTGTAACCGTTTTTACCCTTCCGGAGCCACATGCAACCAGCACACATAACTCTTTAAATAACTGATTAGGTCCATGGTCTCCCCTTCCCAAGCTCTACCCAATCTCATTCTGAGCTGAGCTTTCCTCAGATGCCACCTTCCAGGGGTTTTCAGCGCTCAGATTATGGCCACATTTTCCTTAATGTAGCCTCCAAGGGCATGAAGGACATTAGAAAGCTGAGCAGCCTCTGAGACCAGGTACGTGTTGGAAAGGGGCAGTGAGATCCCAGCATCAGTGCTCTGAAAAATGGGTTGCTGTGACAGTGACTCCTGTGGTAAGCAAATAAAGATGGCCTAGCCAGGGAGATGACAGCCAATGACCAAAACGTGGATGACACTGTACACAAAAAGCACACTTCAACAGCACATCCCTTCTCTGTCCAAGCCCCAGGGATCCCTCCAAAGGCAGTTACTGGTTCATACTTGACTAGGGTCCAATTGTAGTACAGAGGACCATCTGCGGAAGGGGACCAACCGTGCAGCTCACAGAAAGGCTGCCTGGTCTATAGCTGACCAGTCACCTTGCCCTGGAGCAATCTCACAAACTGCTCTTCCAAAAGAACCAGAGAAAGTGAGCCCTAGTCTGGATTCTTTTTTCCCCAGGGAAAAGGAGGGCCAGGTAGAGGTGGGCTGCTTTTTGCTCATTTTGTTGCAAACCACACAGGGAGGTAAGTAGAATGCAGCACAGGAGAAGAGAGGAGACAGCTGCCAGATGGTCTGGGAACTAGCCCAGGCAGCCGTCCAGGGGCAAAGAACACCAGGGCTGGGCACAGCGCTCATGGTGGGTGGGCTCAGCTGCATAGCAGCTGTGTCATTTGAGGCAAGTCATTTTGTCTAAGCCTTCATGTCCTCATCTGTAAAAGGAGAAAATTTCTAGATCCCAAAGTTATGGTAAAAACAGAAGAAGAAATGTTATTTCTGCTGTGTGGTTTAAAACTTGCTCATTAGGAGCCACAATGTTTTGCCACAAACAAACTGAGTGGTTTGGAGAAGTCTCTGGGCTTCAGTATCCTTGTCTGGGGAGTGGGGACAAGCCATGCATTGCTCCCTCTCCTAACTATGGGTAGAGCAGGAAATAAAATGGTAACTGGGCAAGAGCTCTGCTGTGTTAGGTTCTGCAGATGCCAGGTACACGTCCTCACACACGTCATCTCTCTAGAACTCGTACAACCTGCATTTAAAAAAGGTTCCTTCTTCCTGCTCCCCTCTAGGATTACGGCAGGTGGCACAGAAAAATGACCAGGTGCCAAGATGATGATGCCTTGGAATGAGGGAAGAACACCTTTCCCTGAAGAGGCTTCTCCATCCTCCTCACGCCCACATGCCCCTACGCGGAGATGCGGTTAGGCGTTAGTTGCCAAAGTAGCTCTGAGGCCGTGTGCGGCAGCAGGACACTCAGACAAACTCAGCTGAGCAGCTCACAGGCAACAATTCAGGGCTCACCAAGCTCAGTCCAATCTAGAGGGAAGCCTGCCACCTCCAGGCTGGCCGCCTTCCCTGAAGCCAGGGCAAACTCCTGGCAGAACAGGCTGTTTGGCAGAGATGCTAAGGTGTCCAGGGACACCTCCTCCCCTTAGATCCCAAACCTGGACTGCCACCCCTCCGTGCCCCTCCTTCCTCTCACCCAGTGATCCAAAGTGTCCCCAGTCTTCCTTCAGTCTCTTTCAAGTCATTTTTGAGACACCCCCATCACCATCCTCAGGCCAGATAGTATACTCGCATAGCATTAGCTAAATGAAAACATAATTTCTCCCTGATAGTAAAAAACAAGCTTCAAACACAAAAGCTTCCTCTGTTCATATAGCCACACCTCAGTATTCCAGCCTGTCTTTGTGGTTTATTAAACAACTTTTCCACGTGGTCTGAAGAAAACAGTCCTATTTCAGGCCAGGATATCTGCTCTAAAACGACCTCAGGTCAGAGATCCTGTGATTCCGGGGGCGCTGGCTGGCGTGCAGGCCCCTAAGGCTCTGGCCAGGCTGCACCCCCTGCCTGCACAAGGTGCTCACCTTCACTCCCACAGAGCTGGTTTCACTGACTCTAGCCCTTAACTCTGAGCCTGTTTTTCATCTGTAAAAGGAACCACCTCCACGAAGGTTGTCTGAGGAAGAATGTCCACATGTCTGGCACTGACAAAATACCAACTGGAGCATCGTTCTTCCTTTCCTTTCTTCCATTATTCTTTCTTCAATCTGCCCTCAGGCCAAAATGACCTAACTGGAAGGCTGTTAATTTGCCTGGGACGTTTAGCTGACACTTGAATGCAGAGACCATCCAAACCATTAAAAAGTATCAAGGCAGGAGAAAGGGAAACAAAGCGGAGAGCCCGGGAGCTTGGGCAGTGCTGAGAGAACGCCCCCTCAGCAGCCAGGCTGACCTTGTTAGCTCCTCAGTGGTAAAAAGAGATGACTTAGGACCTGCCCTCCAGCTAGGCTATGCTAATCAGACTTGCTTAACTAAGCTGCCTAGGCAGATAATGGCCATCTCCACACTACCAGCAGAGGCAGCACTGCACAAAAATGGCAAAGTTCTGCTCAGACAGACCAAGGTGCTCCTTACAATAAGGACCAAGTAATAAAGATTTTAACATCAGACTGGTCAAGGCCAAAAAGCAAGTAAAGAAACAAAAGGCCCTCCCTCAACGTTGGCTTAATGAGGCAGTGATTCTACCCAACAGCCGCAACTGAGGAATGGGGTGACTCCTGCCAGGATGTTATATGACTTATCTCCTGGATTTAAGAAAAGCCTCTTGACTATAACATAAATCTATCTTATTTGCCTTTAAAGATAATACTCTGTCCTTGTCAACAGTTCTTATAACCTGAGAGCATCACAAAAATCACAGTCTGTATTTCCCACTGATTTAGCTCACCTCCCACAATTCTTCAGAGGCTCCCGAGGTACATGCAGACAACGTGGACCAGACAGGACAGCAGGCTGTACGCCCTTTATTCAATCCAACAGCGTCCATTTCACTGTCTACCCATTCTTCCTTTGGCTGAAAAGCAGCTTCCCAACTGTGTCTAATTAGATAGAGAAAATGGATGGACAGAGAGATGGATGGCTGGATGGACATGTTTTTTTCAAAGATTAACAGAAAAGGAAGGCCTTGTGGTATGACAAGTGCAGATTTCCACCCCCTAACCCGAGTGTTGAAGCTACCTGGGAGAGAGAAACTGCAGGAATGCTAGTTAGAGAAGCAGCTGATTCAGTAGCCTTCTAAGCATGCATCTCCTCTTTCGTTGCTGTGGTTTATAGTAACTTGGCTTTATACCTGCCAACACTGGTGAGCTCTTGAGTGTTGGATTCCAGGGCCAGCTGTAATCAAGCACATTCTTTTCTCTTACTGTTGCACTGGTGGGAAACTTGGAATCAGCAGGTCGATAGTCTAAGCTCAGCCCTCTTTGAAGTTCTAAGCACACTCATCTCCCAAAGCAAGTTATCTACGAACCCCTGGCAGCAGATGGGCCACAGATTTAACTCTACCACAGCACAAACGTGAGAATTTCATTCAGCAGGGATCCGCAATGCCTGCCCCACACTAGCTTTCTCACCACATTGGCTTTGTGCTTCCTAACCCCCAGATGCTAACAGTCCTCTCCCAAAGCCCAGGAGCACCCCAAACCCATGAGCACTAAGGAACCAGCGCAGGTCCCCCTGGATAGAACACACACCTGTTTCTCAGCTACCTGCCAGCACAGCCTGTTCTCCCTCCCATACTTAGCATCACCTCAGCCAATATGGTGAGAACAGTTATTTAACTGAATATTTACTAAGCACTAGGTGCTATTCAAAGCACTTTATATAGATTAATTCACCTAATTCCCAAACCCCATGGAAATCTGCTGGAGAGAGATACTTTGGCCTGGATTCCCACATGATTTCTACTCCCTATTTCTAGCTGTGCTGTAAAGCTTACATAACCTAATTTGCATTATGGTGCTATTTTTAAAAACCTCCAAAGATCGCTGCTTCCAACATCAATGGAAGCTGTTAGCTCCTACCTAAAATAATGTGGGAAAGGATATCTATTCTTATAAATAACTCAACTTGAATTCTTGACTTAAAGTAGTCTTTCTGGAAGACACTATTAGGAAAGGAAAAGACTCATTCTTATATAAGAAGTATTAGCTTGCGCTTTGTAAATAACTGCTAGAAACAAACATCAATATTAAAACTCACCTCAGTGGTAAAAAGTTTCTTGGCTCTGCCTGGTTATTCCTTTACCACCCATCTCCCTTCCAGGCCTCCTAGTGACATTGAGAAACCTGTGGTCCCTGGGTGGCATGGCGTCAGATCATCACGGAGTACAAGTCTGAATACAACAGAACATTTCTTCTGGATGATGTCAGAGAGACACCCAGCTGTAGCCCCGCCACCAGCAAGGTGACACCAGGACACACTGAATGGGAGTTACAGGAAGACCATTAACAGAGCTGGCTGTTTGCAGCTTTAAGTACTCTTACTGTCCCTGGTCTGGAGAGCCCTAGACTGTCAGAAATCTAACTGCTTTGGGAGGGGGGAAAACCTCCTTAGTTCATTTCCCTGACTCATCAATGAAGAGTTGCCTTCACTGCAATTATTAATGAAATCTAAGAAACAGATTAGTTTTAATGAGTGATTAAAATTCCCCTCGTTTGTCATAAAAAAAATGTGGTCAGTGTTTAACCACTTTGTTCTTTCTTGTAATACAAAATGGCTTTAAAAGGACTCGAGTGTTGCCATTTCATTAAGTTCACTTACTTGGATAAAGGTCCATGAACAGAATAGAGATGGTTTCAGGTTCTCAAAACTGCCAAGGAAATATTTAAACAAGTGAATTTCCAGATGATGCCCATATTTCAGTAATGTCAGAGGGCGCACTTTATTAAATAATTTATAAATAAACTATTAACTAAGTCAATTACCTTTCAGTACTGCTAATGCATTATTTGTCTCCCAGACTAGGACATTTTTAATAGTCCCAATTCTACCACCAAGGGGACTCTCCAACTTAAAATGCCCCCACTGGGCAGAGCCTGTCTTAGTACCCAGAGAAGGACCTGGCATGCACGGACGCTCAGCCATCTGGTCAGGACTGGAAAGTACTTGGTACTAGTCAGCTAGACCTCACTCAACCTTTTATAGATGCCAAGGCCACATTCAACATACATACAGATTCTGTATGGGAAAAAACTTGTTCAGTAACCTTCAAAGTTAGTAATAAAAAGAAAACTGATACTTAGAGACAAATATAAAACAAATTCATTTTAATCTATATATATCAAATACAGCCTTAGCACAGCATCTAACACATGAAATGCATTTACGGGATATACTAAATGAAGCAAATCCTGATTAAAATATTTGGCCTAACCTTCACATTTTAAAAATGAGCTTCATAATGGTTAAGATGGGAAATAAATCAGCTATCTACCTAACCTGGAAAAGAGATGAAGTGCCTTGTGTCTATTTGGTCTCTGCAGACTGGCTATTTGCCATTCTGAGACTCACCAACATTGGTTCTGCAAACAGCTTAACTCAAGTCAATATTTTTCCATAGTTACCTTTAATATTTTGGTTTTTTTTTTCATTTTCTATTGCTTATTTTTTTATGGCTTCTTGCTGCTGTTGTATTAGAGCATACAACACAGATCAGAGATTTTCATTTCTCAAAGAAGTTTCTCTCCTTGAGAAATGGGCCCTTTGACCCTTGGGTTGTGGAACACCCACGTGGAAATGGGTCCTACCGGCACTGTTACCAATCTTGCTGCTTCTGCAATTCCAGCACTGTGGCCAAAAAAGTGCCCTGACATTAAAATCTTCTTAGGTGAATTCTTCCCACCACCGAGTTCTTTTATTTTTAAATAGGTACATGTGTGTAATTCACATATATAAGTTCCTTCACATATACACTTAACCCAGCAAAAGTGAAATGTTTCTCATAAATAGAAAATAATTACAAGGGTATTGAAACAAATGCTGAAAATAACTTATTTTACATTTAGATAATAAAAAGTTTAAAGGTGATGTGACGACATAAGACCTACGAGATCAAATACATCATATGTGATTGTCATATATGCATGTTGTGTTCGATTTTTAATTTTCTCTTTAATCAGAAAATAAAAGAGCTTACCTTTGTATACTGAGACCACAGCTTACAGTCACTATTATCTCAGCCTATTTTATACAAGTGATATGGCTACGAAGGTCCGAGGAGAACGAGAATAAAGTGAGATAAACGTGCTGAAAACTGCTTAAAAGTATTAACCTGAAATACACAGAGGGTCCAACACCAGTTTTAAAAATACATTAACCATGTATTCCCAACTCTTCAATTAATAATGGTTACTGACTGATTCAAGATTTTCAAACATTCATCCAAATTTTAAGAAAAGAAGAAAAGGCTTATACCAGCAAAATCTATCAGTGATCTGTCCTCCAGGGGAACAACTTGAGAGAGACTACACAACCACAGAGCCCCTCACCGCGCCGTGCCACACAGGGCCTGAAGCCAGCAGGAGGTATGTGGGGAAGTCTACTGGACCAATTCCCTTGCACGAGAGCTGGGGTGCTCCTGCAGCCTGAAGAAATGCAGGTTGCACGCTACTTTGTGGGCTGGGTGCCAACCCCATGCAAAGGACATGGCTTTAAGGAGGAACCCCCCATCTCAGAAATGGTAACAGCGCTACGTGGTCAGGAATGCGACTATTCAATTTGTGCACTAAAAGTTTAAAATCTGTCAGAGGATGTACAGCTCCCACACTAATTCTAAGTTCTACATTGCTCCCTAACAAGAAACTATGCTAAGAGGGCTTAAGTACAGATATTGCTATGTTTCCAAAGGAAAACTTTTAAAACAGACACATTGGCTTTGGATAAAGTATTGCTCTTCTTTAAAATGCTCAGTCATTGCTTTCCAAAAGAAGGTGTCAGACTGGTGTATCTATCTGAAAGCTGGAAGCCTCAAGGGGTCACATTGCTCTAAGACTAAGACATAGATATTGCCATTTCAAGCCAGACAACCTGATGGTTCTAGAAGTCAGAGAAGAAATCTTGAGTGCCCAAGTGAATAATAAATGGTGCGACGCTCAGAGGCTGGCAATAGGGTCTGTCAATGAAAAAACCACCTACAGTGGAGAAAAGAGCAGAGAAGCAAAACTTTATGTTAATTCCACAGAATTTGGTGAAGCCAAGAGCTTCATTTATATTTCTCTGCTCTTTCAGCTGTAAGTGGAATTTTCATTACAAAATGGAGGGGTGGGAACGGCAAAAGGTGTGTGGGGGGACACTTAATTCATTACAGAATTTGAACAGTTGAACTTGCATGGTTACCACTTCTAACAAAGGACTGACAGCTCAATTATTTTAAGTAAAGCAGAGAAATGTAAAAGTTTGCAGCAACTGGGCAGGTTTACAACATGGTTAGTAACTTCCAACAAACAACAAAATTAAAAAAAAAAGGACTTGGTAGAAACCATTTGAAATGACTGCCATCATGTTGGAAAACAGCACAGCTCCCTTTTCGCCATTAGAGAGGTTGACTTATGAAGCTGAGTCAGCTATTTTAAAAGAATTTTCTAAAGAAATCTCCAGAGAGATTCCAGCTTGGAATGCAAATTTGACTATCAATTTCAAATAACAATACAGCTACAGCTGCCAATTAATAGTATTCCACCAACAGAGAGAACTATTGTAAATATTTAATTAATAAATACTGGACACTACCAGCCATGCTTTTTCTTCTCAGTGATGGCTCTGTTTCACCCATAGGTCAGCAAAATGAATCAATGAGACATGAAAACTCCCAGCTGAAATGGGCCCTCTGGTTTATGTCTAGCCACTAATGCACAGGATGAGAATGATAAATTCACAGCTATTTCTAGCAAGTGATGAGGTTTTATTAAAGTATCACCCACCACTAATAAAGACAAAAGGTCAAGGAGCAGAAGTAACAAATAAGCCATTGGGTAATAAATAAAACCTGAGAAGTGACACATTTATTTTGAACTGCCCCTTTCATTCTCATTTAGCGGTTCCCCAAAGAAACCTGTACATAAATTTGCCATGTTTTGTGAAGCCCATTCTCACTGATGGGCACTGTTCAGCTCTGAAGAACATAATTTAAGAGGGAAGATGAAAGCTAATTCCTACTACAACTGGACATTTTTAAGGCACAGAAACTTACAAATATCCACAGGACCACACAGTCGCCTTCATGGGGGTGAGTACCTTAATGAAACCATGACCTTCCAGTAACACCAGAGGCTTTCCAAACAAGGTGAGAGTGCAGGTGAAGGCAGAGTCTGCACCCTTTACAGAACAGCGCAATGTTACCAACAGATCATTTGTCACCAGCTTAATCAGATAAATTTTAAGAAAAACTTAAAAATAAATGCTGACCCATGGCTGAAACCTGTCACTTTTCACAGCAGCACTCAACAAGAACTGGGACAATTGAAGAGCAAGTTTTTATGGGGACCCTGTTGCTGCTTTAGATTCTGATGTAATTGAAGAGGAAAAGAGACGCTTCAATGAAGCCCCAAAAATCACTAATCTTCTGCCTGCATGAAAAAAGCCAGGGCGTAAACACAGTATCTTACAGAGTGAAGAAGGCCACAAGAACAAGAAAGGATGATTGATCCGATTAATTTATTGGTTTTTAAAACTTGGAAATTCTGAAACTAATCACATTCCTCCTTCCCCATCTCTGGGTAGTGCCATCATTTTAATAAGCAATGCTCAGATAACAGAATATACCTTTATCATGGGAATGCCCTTGTACAGCAGGAGTACAAAGAGCTTACAAAGTAAATAGGACTGGCTCAAACTAAAAATCGCCTTTGTTTTAGCAGTTTGCTTACAAATGAGTGGGTTTCTAGGGCTAAGTTATTATTAATTTTCAATTCGTTGTAATTTGATACCAAAACATATCAAAAATAAAAAGCTAAAACAATATTCAAACCCATATTTTATTGGCTTTAATTACACACTTCAGTATTTACAAAGTTAAAGTTTAAAGGAAAAGTCTATTGTATTAAAAAAAATAACTACAGCCCAATTAAAGTGCCCTGGGGCAAATACGGATCAGTCAGCTGAGAATCAATTGGCTGCATCAGGAACCAGGCAGTACTCTGTGTTACGACAAAGCAGTTTATTTGTGATCAGTGTTTGAGACTCTATACATCCTTCACAAATTTAATTTTACATAATCTGATATTCCTCTTAAAACTTAAGCTTTGACTGCTAGACTCATTTCCCTAGAACAGAAGGGCTGGTATAAGTTATTTTCCGAAATGAGGTACCGTTTCACAGAACTAGTTTCTTTTTTTGTTTTCAAGTTTTAGAGAACTAAATTTGCATTTGTTAAAATCAAAAAGTAGGAAAGATGTTCTTTACAAATAATTTTGATCAAATATGTGTTCAAAGAAAGCAGAATAAAAAGGCTTTTTCTCTAACATTCTGTATTGTACTGTATTGTTGTTCAATAGGAATTAGCTTCTGTCATTTGCTAAAAGAATGAATAGTGGGGAACAGGGTATGTTGGGAATTTCATAACGGGTAACAGAACCATTCTCTTGGGTAAACCTACAGAGAAAAGAAACGGAGAGGACTCCAAATAAGTTTGATAATCCAATAAAAAATTTCAGGTTAAAAAAAAACAGTAATTATCATTAACCTTTTCCAGATCAGTCAGTCAACATGTACCATTTTGGAAGAGACCCACAAATGTCTCACATATCTCCCATTTTGAAATAGCACTTAATAGTTTGATAATTAGTATCTTCCACTCAAAATTAAGATGTTTCCCCAAAGAAACCTGTACATAAATTTGCCATGTTTTGTGAAGCCCATTCTCACTGATGGGCACTGTTCAGCTCTGAAGAACATAATTTAAGAGGGAAGATGAAAGCTAATTCCTACTACAACTGGACATTTTTAAGGCACAGAAACTTACAAATATCCACAGGACCACACAGTCGCCTTCATGGGGGTGAGTACCTTAATGAAACCATGACCTTCCAGTAACACCAGAGGCTTTCCAAACAAGGTGAGAGTGCAGGTGAAGGCAGAGTCTGCACCCTTTACAGAACAGCGCAATGTTACCAACAGATCATTTGTCACCAGCTTAATCAGATAAATTTTAAGAAAAACTTAAAAATAAATGCTGACCCATGGCTGAAACCTGTCACTTTTCACAGCAGCACTCAACAAGAACTGGGACAATTGAAGAGCAAGTTTTTATGGGGACCCTGTTGCTGCTTTAGATTCTGATGTAATTGAAGAGGAAAAGAGACGCTTCAATGAAGCCCCAAAAATCACTAATCTTCTGCCTGCATGAAAAAAGCCAGGGCGTAAACACAGTATCTTACAGAGTGAAGAAGGCCACAAGAACAAGAAAGGATGATTGATCCGATTAATTTATTGGTTTTTAAAACTTGGAAATTCTGAAACTAATCACATTCCTCCTTCCCCATCTCTGGGTAGTGCCATCATTTTAATAAGCAATGCTCAGATAACAGAATATACCTTTATCATGGGAATGCCCTTGTACAGCAGGAGTACAAAGAGCTTACAAAGTAAATAGGACTGGCTCAAACTAAAAATCGCCTTTGTTTTAGCAGTTTGCTTACAAATGAGTGGGTTTCTAGGGCTAAGTTATTATTAATTTTCAATTCGTTGTAATTTGATACCAAAACATATCAAAAATAAAAAGCTAAAACAATATTCAAACCCATATTTTATTGGCTTTAATTACACACTTCAGTATTTACAAAGTTAAAGTTTAAAGGAAAAGTCTATTGTATTAAAAAAAATAACTACAGCCCAATTAAAGTGCCCTGGGGCAAATACGGATCAGTCAGCTGAGAATCAATTGGCTGCATCAGGAACCAGGCAGTACTCTGTGTTACGACAAAGCAGTTTATTTGTGATCAGTGTTTGAGACTCTATACATCCTTCACAAATTTAATTTTACATAATCTGATATTCCTCTTAAAACTTAAGCTTTGACTGCTAGACTCATTTCCCTAGAACAGAAGGGCTGGTATAAGTTATTTTCCGAAATGAGGTACCGTTTCACAGAACTAGTTTCTTTTTTTGTTTTCAAGTTTTAGAGAACTAAATTTGCATTTGTTAAAATCAAAAAGTAGGAAAGATGTTCTTTACAAATAATTTTGATCAAATATGTGTTCAAAGAAAGCAGAATAAAAAGGCTTTTTCTCTAACATTCTGTATTGTACTGTATTGTTGTTCAATAGGAATTAGCTTCTGTCATTTGCTAAAAGAATGAATAGTGGGGAACAGGGTATGTTGGGAATTTCATAACGGGTAACAGAACCATTCTCTTGGGTAAACCTACAGAGAAAAGAAACGGAGAGGACTCCAAATAAGTTTGATAATCCAATAAAAAATTTCAGGTTAAAAAAAAACAGTAATTATCATTAACCTTTTCCAGATCAGTCAGTCAACATGTACCATTTTGGAAGAGACCCACAAATGTCTCACATATCTCCCATTTTGAAATAGCACTTAATAGTTTGATAATTAGTATCTTCCACTCAAAATTAAGATGGCTACATCATAGAAAGAGTGCTATTCAGAAAGCAATTTCATTTGGTGAGCTGCCATTAATTCTAAAGATCAAAAGTAATGCAATTGATTAATATTCTAAAGTGACTCTAGAAATCCATATTGTTGCTCAATTTGGTGTATTACATATTTCAGAAGAAAAAGGGGTTGTCAAGATTCAAAGCACAGCTTTCTGTGCAGCCTCAGCTCCAACTGGAGTCGTGACCAGGCGTTTATCTTCTTAATGGCTATTGCCAATATTGGCATGGCAAATCTGGAAAGATTAATTACTTTCTTAATTTTGTGATTAATGAGTTCTTGTGGCCTCACAAACTTCTGCATACTCAAGCATGATTTGAAATCTGCTCTTATTTCTATTCTGATATTTAACCTATGGAGAAATCACAAAGCAGCAACAGCAGGTATTCAAGAGCACCAGATGATCAGAAGGAAATCACCTCACATGCAACAGCTTTACAAAGGCCAAAAGACATATTTACCTTACAGCCAAAATAAAGCATTGTTTTAGTAGGTTGGCATCACGGTAACATTTAAAAACCAAATCTTTTATGTGAAAAATGGGGGCATCAAATTTCACCAGCTTTGGAAGTCAGTTATATGGCACTTCTGCACTGGGAGCTCAGGGCCCACAGGGTGAAGGTATAGTGTTAGAGGACAAGGAGGAACAAGAGAAAAAAACAAAAAAGACTGAAGAAAAACGTGAATGTAGTTTAGACATCAAAGTGTTAGAAAAGGAAAAATTAAGACTTAGCAAAACTGTTCGTGAAATTTCTCATGTCTACAAGAAAGACACAGACTCAAGAACCTGCACTAGGAGGCAGATGCTTTGGTGCTGGCACAGGACGTATCACAATGAGTCTGGTGTGTCAGAATGTATTTGGATATGAACTGACCAGACCTAATTCACCTGAAGGATGAGGTGGTCAGGGTATCTGGAAGTTGGCTGAATGGTAAAAGCAAATGCTCAAATCAAAAGGAGCTAGAGAGTTTGAACTGAGAAGAACTTCCAGGTGGAAGCAAATTCTTGAATGAGTCCCCAGTTCCTAGTCACCTCACATCTGAGACTATGGGGAGGAGGGCGAAGCCTCAGTCAAACCTCAGTGTGCCAAAGGAGACCTACAGGCACTGGATGAAACCCCAGATTCTGCACTCTGCCTCAGAGAAAACTCACCCCAAGTGTTTGACCCTTGCAGCTTCTCCACATCCTTCCAGGATATAAACTATCCATCTTGATGGAGAAAGTGGTCTGTTTACTCTCTACTTATTTCTACAGTTATGAAATCAGATGAAGGTTAAATTTAGCAGGGCCTTAAGGACCCATAATCACAACAAAATGGAAAAGCTGATGCATGAAGAGAACAAGCATAATGATGACACGGTACTTTCAAGGTCCGTCCTTCTGTGCACATGCATGTCCAGCCTGGAGTCACACTGGTACACCTATGCTCAAGTGTGCACGTTCACACGCAACATGCTCTCGCACATGCGTGCACACACACACTTGCTCTCTTCTCTCAATGACAGACATCTTGCATATGGTTAATCCTATCACGTGTAGCACCGGAGTGAGGAAAAATGTCTAAGATGGCATATCACTGACTCCAAACCTATTGCCTCCATTGCCACATAAACCTCATTCAAAAGTTATCCAAAGGGCCAGTAAGGTTCATTTCTGCATTTGCTTTTATGTTTTATTTTTGGAGGGAGAAGAGACACTCCTGTGGCTTTCTAACATGTACTACAGACTTTCTGTAACAAGCACTTCAGTAACACTGCTGGTGACACCCCTCGGTCACCTCTCTAGTACCTGTTCACTCCACTTCTACGGAAAACTTATGGAAAAGGATGATGGCTACAAAACTGAAGTGAGCATTTCCTATCCCCACCTCAAATCACCCATAGTTCACACAGTTTCAAACCAGAAACTGAAATGTAGCTATAAAACTGGCAGGCAGCCAAGCGAGAAACTGGGAATGGCCCTTCAGTAGCCTTTGAATGGAGTGTAAGTTGGCTGTAAGAAGAACCACTTAAAATATTTAATTTCAGTATGGTCAGAAACAGGCAATTAGAACAAGCAGGCCTTCAATCAGGCAAAGCGGAGGGAAGAGCAACTCCAACCAAACGAAGAACCACAGGTTGTGGCATTTTTCAAAGGGAATTTAAGTAGGGTCACTAGAATGAACTGGTCTGAGATCCTCCCATTCACATAAAGAAACCCTAGATACAAGCTGGGCTCTGTATTGCTGGGAAGAGTCACTAAGAGGAGAAATCAGTAAGGCAGTGTACATACCATAGGCAGGGGCAGCTGTGCTGTAACCGTAAGGTGTTCCATAGCCTAGTGCAAAGAAGGAGAGAGCACATCAGTCCAGGACAAGCAGCAGTCGGCACTGGCCCAGTTTGCAGATACCATGCCTAGCACCTCGGGCTCTAAAGGTTCTTCCAGATATTGGATGAATGAGAACTATGCCGATGACCTTTGTCTACAGATCCCTCTGTGCCTGCTTAGAGCAGAAGCTTCTTACCATGGCCTACAAGGCTCTCCTAACCTACCAGGCCATCCTGTGTCTCTTTCTCACTCCCTTACCACACTGTAATTAACTATTATCGACTCCTTATCTGTTTTCCCCACTAGGTTGGCAGAGACCAAGTCTCACACATTTTTGCACCACCTCAACCTAACAAAATGTCTGGCACAGTAACCACTCATTAAACATAATTTGTTGAACAAAGGAACACTTAAACTCACTCAAATTACCAATTTCTCAAAGTTGGAAAACAGAACATTGTAGGGCTCTTTTGAGAAAGTAGTGACACAGCAGGCAGAAGCCTCAACTGCCACTAAAAAGGGTATATAGATCAGATTGTGGGCGTGAGGGCAAGGTCCATCTGGATTCCTGGTGCCAACAAAAGGGTTGGTCTCTCAGTAAATGTTGGCAAAAATGACATTAGCATCTGATGCCTATGACAAACATTCATCAATAGAACAAGTACAAAAACACAGAAGATTTGTACTAGTTTCTTCAATGTTCTTAACCACACAACTTCTGAACTGCCATTTTCTCATCTGTAAAATGGGAAACTTTACAAGCTACTTTACAGTGTTGTAGGAATTACAAAATACTACCATCTTTACTCTTTCAGTAAAACAACTTTTAAAAAACCCAAATGCTAAATCACTTGTGTAGATTGCTAGGAAAACTTGGTTTCTAAACTAGAACAAGAGCACAAAATCTACATGGGCCCTTCATACTGCTTACCCAAAACAAATCAGGTTTTTAAATATTACAACCCCCTTTTCTATAATTATTTCTGTTGCTCAGAATTGTTTTTTACCTCCTTCTCTAGCTGACCAACTGCAACTTATCCTTTAGATCAGGACTAAATATCACCTCCTCTGTGAAGTGTCCTAGGCTTGCGGTTCACTCTGTTGCCCTCCAGTGTTACAGCTCACATCACAGTATCTCCTCAAGTGTCTGCTGCCCTCCATCTGACCCCAAGCACTCCCTGAGGCAGACGCTAGGTCAGTCATCTTTGAATGCCCAGTTCCAAATCTCTTGTTTGAGACAAAACACGCAAATGTATGCTGAGTAAGTAAACTGCTTTCAAGGCATAACTGAAACATTTTCTCAGAGATGAAAAATTTCACTCTAAGTCTTAAGGCATATAAAACTGGGGGCAGTGCAACTTAGCCTTGGTGGTTTGTGCTCACTCAATCAAGTATTTCAAAAGGACACAATTAAGTGAAAATAAACAGTAGGAACAGTATCCGAGGCCCAAAGAGAAATCAATGCTTAAGATGGTTGTCTATGAAATCTATTTCAGGAAAAGGTATCTGGTTGGCTAAGGTTACAGTTTCAAGGGTTTCCCCAAACCTCCTCCCAGAGGTGAGATGAACTACAACTGCTGAACAGGCCACCAATCAGGCCGCTGGGGTTCTAGCCTGACCTCACCTTTCACTAGCAAGGTGACTCTGAATTATGCCTGTTAGTCAACTTCTCTGAGCCTTAGTCTTCTACAGTAATTGAGTTGGCAGGGGAATGTAATTAAAATACTACAGTTGCTGCTGCACAGAATACACTCAGCAAATGGCTTGTAACCCGGTCATAATCTAAACTGACCTAACTGAATCTTCTCTGGGTTATAAAATAACTTTATTTTTAAAAGCTGCAGGGGACAGGCCTTTCACAAAGTCAATGCAATGACATGAGAAGCTACTGGCAACTTGTCAGTTAAGCAAAAGGACCTGGCAACAACAGACGTAAGGGCCCCTTCCATGAGAGCTGTCACCCAATGAAGGCTGCTCCCCACTCCAGTGGAAGGAGACATTCCCAGCCCAAGCAGCCACAGACACAACCAGATAAAGCTCCAACTGATCAAAGGAAAGAAAGTTCATCTCAATAAATTGTCTATTATTGTTTAAGGAAAAACTGCTTCCTTTAAATAACACATTCAGTGAAGCAAAAAATACTGAGTTTCAGTAGAAACAAACGCACAGAAAAAAATCTTAATTTTGGACACACAAACTGTATCAAACTTAGATACTATGAGCTCTTTCTCCCTCATCTCCCTCCCTGCATGCTCACCCTTCAGAGTCCTTGTTTTCTTAAGTAGCACAATCATCCAACCCAGTTCTTCGAGCTAAAAATCCTGGGACTTATCCTAAAGCTCTCACTTTTTCATCCTCCACATTAAATCCATCAATTCTGCTTCTGAAGTACTCCTTCGATCTGTTCGCTTCTTGCCACCCATATCCTCCCCACACCTGGTACTGGAGATACCTCCACTGTCTGTTCTAACTTGTCTTGTCACACCTACTTCTGACCCTACAATCTAGTCTTCACCCTATCGTGATCTTTACAAATAATGTCTGATCTTGACACTTTTCTCCTGTTTTAGAACCCTCATAACTTCCCACTGCACTCAGGATTCTAGGACCAAAATTCTAAGACCATGGCCTCCAAGACTGGAACTGAGCCTCCAGCTTTAGCTCAAATCACTCCCACCTCAAACCCCAAAACACAGTGCTCTCCACACTACAGACATTGTGGCTGCCTTCTAACTCTTCAAATGAGCCAGATTCCCAACTACCAGCATCAGAGGGTCTCTGCACATGCTGTTTCCTGTGTGCAACACTCTCCCAAGCCAGTCTTTCCTGAGTTAATGCCTACTCATCCTTCAAAGCTCAGTTCAAATGTGACTTCTTCAGGAAAGCCTTCAGGGATCCCACAGCCTAGATCAAATTTCTCAGCTACAGTTTCTCATAGCATCATGTTCCTCTCCTTTGTGGAAATCATCTCAGTTTACAATTGTGTCTCACCATTAGACCATAAACTATATGAGAGCAAATCCGTGTGTGGTGTGTGCCAAATGAGGCATACAATATTTGAATAAGTATGCTCTCCATATGATGACACATCTTTGAGCTATGCACCTATGGGATCAACTTCTACAAGTATAATTCCAATGCCACATTATCCACAGAAGTTCCCAATCAGCCTATTCTAATTCTTAGGAAAAAAACCAAAAACACAATCTAAGTGAACTTCTTAGGAGTGTTAAATAAAAAATAATGATAAGACAAGACCCAATTTTTACAACGATTTCACCTTGATCAACAAATGTAAGTGGTTTCTTGTCAAGTTAAAAGTTCCATACTTTCAATATTGCAGAGAGGTTGGTTTTAATGATAGCTGTATGCCTACTGCTAAAATGACATAAGGATTAGACCAGAAGGCAAACAGAGAACATCCTTCCCATCTTCTCAAGCCAGTGGTGAAATGGGAAGAATATAAACTTTGGAACTGCAGACACCTACATTCAAATCTTTGTTCTGCTATTTGCTAGATGTCACACACTGAACTAGTTGCCTTATCTCCCTAATCCTTAGTCTCCTCATCTGGAAAATGGGAGTAATTTCTACTTGAAGAAACTGTGAAGATTAAAAACACTTAAGTATAATCATTTATAGTAAGCTCCAAATAAAGAAGTTTTTTTCTCTTTCTGTACTTACTTAGCTTTTGATGATTAAAGAAATCATCTGAGTTAAAGAAATGCAGATAATGCCAGGCCTCACCCCAATTAAGTAGTCAGTTTCCAGCAGTTTTTCTCTCCCATTATATCTAACCTGTCTTCAATGTCCCCACCAGATACACCCTGCTCAAATGTATGAACTCCTCAATCCATGGAATAGCTTTTAGATTCCTCATTGCCAATATGTCCCCTCAACCAACAGCAATATTCCTCATCTGTCACCTCACTCTAGGAAGCCTCTAGTCACTCAGCAGATTTCAGAAGAAAATCTATGGCATTCTGCAATTCTCTCAAGTTTCTATGCACACCAATCTTATACCTCTGTTATATTTTCAGAGACTGGAACCTGGAAAATAAAGGAGATGCTGTGCTTCAAATGTTGGCGCAGACAAGGAGGCAGACCTCTTACCGGTTGTACTATACCTGGAGCTATGTAGCCAGGAGCAGCTGTGGCTCCAACAAAAGCTCCCCTTGTTAGAGTTCCTCTTCCTCTGCCCCGAACAGCTTGGACTGCTGCAGACACAGCTGTATTCACAACACCCTTTGCCTATTAAAAATAACACATTTTCATGACTGTGAGCAATAAGAACTGTGATCCCATCATCTCTGTAATGTACAACCTCTATGAGAAACTTGAGCCTGTAGATGAAACAATGAGTTGGTCTCTGACCTTGAACTTTCTATTATCATCTATAAAATGAAAAAGACACCTACCTTACAGAGTTGTTTTGGAAAATACGCCAGCACATAAAATTATACAAATAACTTCCTCTCTTTTCACTTGAGGGTTACCCAGAAAGAGTTCATTTTCTACACACAAATTTCAGCAGTCAAATTACATCCAGTTATTTTAAGCCTGACTGAAATAACTACAGACACTTGATACCTAGATTTGAAATCCACTGAATCCTCCATCTTCAGATGCAAAGTACCATAACAACAAAGCACCACAACAACAAAGCACCTAGATTTAGCTCTGAAACTAGGTGGGATTTAAAGAAAAAGACTTAAGACAGGAAGCCCAACAACATGGATGCCAGTTCCTACTCTTAAGTAACTGTGACCTCAGGAAAGTCATGTGATTTCTTTGAGTCTGTTTCTTCGGCTGTGTGTGTGTGTGTGTG